GACATTTTTTTGCGATTATACAGCAACCGTTGCTTAACACTAAACGCATCTCGTTTTAACTCATAAAACATCTACGTAAACTATAAATAAAATTCAAACACTAGAATCCAATTCCACAATACTATAAAATTAACACGAATCTAATAGAAACTACGGTTAGATCACGAATGGAACGGCTAAATGAAGTTATACTCGCGTGATTTGTGGCACTTATAAAGTGGAACGATCACTTGCCTCGCTATCTACACGATGTTCACAAAATTATTTAACGAAGTCTTGTATTTCAACTGTTTAGTGAACAATCTGTAGTTTTTAGTCTGCGCTACGACAACAGTAGAGTCGACTAAGGGTCTAAGGGACTAAGGGTCACATTAGGCAGCTTTCAAATAAATCTGCGGTTGAAACTTCAATTTAAAATCCGCCTGCTAAGCGTGGAGTCCATAGGTCAGCATTGAAATTGACATAGGCTTTTGGTTGATGTCCATTTTTTGTGAGGAGAAAATCATCCAATGACTTCTCTCGCCCAGGGTGAGGCAAGATTGATTGTCAGACTTACTGACTTAAAAACTTTCCGATCCTTTTCCTGCTCCAGGCCAGAGCCGCGGTACCTTAATGCGTTTGTCCACGACCCCGGCTAAGCATTGGCCAACCAAGCTTAACTGACATTAAGAACAGGGGTCCTTGATTCCAGCTGAGTTTGGTTTTCCCATTTAAAACTTAAATTGGTGAATAATTTCGTTGTTCGTGAAGGCTCTTTTGCTCCTTAATTTTGTAATGTTTTTTTTACACTAGTATTAATTTATGCAAACAAACTGTATGTAATTGCACTGATCGGTAGTGTAGCCATAACACATAATTTTTTTTTCTAATATCAGTATTCCACTGTGAATTGGCTCTCCTCTCCATCATTTAGTCCGTCTTTGTATAAAACAAAGTCCGTTTCACTGTCCCTAAATCCCTATTAATGCGATTTTGATGCAATTTTTTAATAGATGAGTGAAGAGTGATTAAAGGGGAAGGTTTATATGTATAATAACATCCATGAAATAGTTGATTAATTTGGTAACATCAGTGAGTCGCCAAGGCGGATCGTGAAGCAAAAAAAAAAAATGGCGGATTGTTAAAAAAATCTAACATAGAAACAAAAACAATAACACTGGTAATCAGTACAGCTGATACGGGCTAAACACGTGTATTGTAGCCTCTAATTGCTATACATGTCATGTTTGTTCAGTCGACAAAATGATACGGCAACATGTTTGTTGATTGACCGAGTCTCCACCGCCTTATGAAACAAAGTATGCTTATCTTGCGCTGTGAGTAACAATTCTTATTCTTAAAGGCGAATTATAAGTTGTAACCAGTCATTTTAATGAATTCATCTCAAAAGCTTTGTTTGTGATTTTTTGGTACATTGTAAACATGAACATTTTTTGCTTATAATAAAGGTTGATAGAACTATTGGATTGACAAATGCCCCCAGTCTATGCAGACATGGAAAAGTGTTATTTGGTGCGGCCTGATGTAGTTTATCTTCGAGGTTTGTTTAAAAATATTTCAGCACCTATCGAACTTGGCATTCTTGACTTTCTCGAAGCTTTGACTACTAATAAGGTAGCGATTCAATAATACTTTTACTTCCAATACTCCGTCCTTTCTTTTAATACCTACACTAGGATTTTGTCCTGTGTCCTGGATGCGTTTACAAACTTTTATTTATCCATCACACTCAGAACCTTTAGACAGATCCAGAGACATTATAAATGGTCTTTAAATACGTCATACATGGAAGGATGTCGAAAAGTACTTTTGAGCATAGGTAAAACACTTCCTGATTCAAAGTTCTGGCACCATCTAATCACGGAACAATAGGAATCACCTTGTTAATGCATAGTGCATATGTTTGAATTATCATTAATATGTTGCCTGCATATCAAACATAGGCTATGTGTGCTCAGTACACATTGTTGTTATCTATGTAATGATTAGTAAATAATACTACGTGCGTATACATACTACCTTTGTACTTACTGTTTAGATAGTATTTAGAACTTTTTGAGTGTTTCTGACGAATTTTGTTAATTGGTTAGTAACTTTGTTATAGAAAATTATTAGTTGTTTATTAAGTAGAAGTTGCCCACTAACGTCTTTTTCTTTCGAGGGAGATTTATCATAATCCCACGCTTGGCAGCCTGGAAGTACTTGGATAGAGCACAATAAAGCTTGTTTTTGAGGGTGTAAAAACATTAAATATTTTCTCATATCCACTGAGGTGGAGCGCAGAAATAAGAGAACGGTGTTGCACGACTCACAGTGGCTGTTTGCAGTTTTAAGATCATACCCGGGTCAATAGATATACGGAAATTATTAGATCTTTTCTGCAACGCACTAATTTGCACTATGTACGGCCACATACAGGTTGTTTTCATTATTATCATTTCAAATGTTTACTAGGATTTTCTCCAAGTCTTGTCTATACACATACACACCTCATTCAGACCGCGACAACGTTTTGTGAATCATACAAGGAGACGCGATACAGCTACTGCGCCAACCGTGCAGTCGGCTCTCTATACCAAATTACGCTACACTCTGCTAGTTTTAAGTTTAATGTGTTACTAATCCTTATCACCATCTCATAGAACATGATTTAGTTCACGAAGCACGTGATAGTATGACTAAGCCATGTCTATACAACAATATTAATTAATGTTCCTTAGTCACAAGGCAAAAATTCATTGTTCTATTTTCCTGGTCTTATTTCCTTGATTATTGCGTTGGTTACTATCATAATATTATGGTATTGTGAGATATGGATATTGGATATGGTTATTATTATAATTAATACCCGATAATTGCTTTACACGCATTAAATAAATTACATATCAGATCTTACGTAGATAAAGCTTAGATGTTGTGAGGGCATAAAAATCAATCTTTTTTGTAAATATTACAAAAACAAAACCTAAGTATCAGCAATATTAGGCCCCAACAGGCCCGATGTTCAGCTTTGATTGCGACCTCGGACTATAACAAAAGAAACGGGATTTTTAGTCGGTAAGAGTCTGACATTCCATATGCTGGGTGAAAGGTCATTCGATGATTTTCCCCTCTCAAAAAAAAAAAACATCATAACTGGTGGTTTTGCAATATATAGAAACTGTGAAACATTTAAGTAAATTAATTCTAAATCTAGATTGTTAAATGTTGCAGATTGTATTGGCGCAGTGCTTAACGCAGTCCTTAAAAGCGTTAAGTACTGTCACAGTATTGTACAACTGCTATAAAGGGTATTTAAACTTAGTTCTATGTGGAATGAAATGAACTGTTTATCTTATTTACATAGGTATTTCGTATGTAAATGATTCCATGCGGGTATCGGTATGCGCAGATATGTAAACATATCACTACTACAAAAATGTAAATATTATATATATGCCTTTATCCGAAATAAAAACAATAATTTGTAGTTTTTAAATTAATCCCGATACATTATATTCGGAGCAATCGTAAAATTTATACAAATATCCTACTTGCAGAATCGGTCGTTCTTCGAAGTACAATGTGACAATCCGCCTGCCATACATTGAAATCATGGCAAAACGTCTTATGGGAAAATCCATATTATTAAGCCATTTTTTTTATGTAATAAGTCGGCAAACGAGCAGACGGATTACCTGATGGTAAGCAATCAGCGCCGCCCATGGACACTCGCAACAGAGGAGTTACGAGTGCGTTGCCGACCTTTTAGGGATTAGGGATTTGGAGATATATTAAAATAATTGTTGTGCTATTGCTGTTCTCTATTTTCACAAAAACAGTTGAACTTCTAAATCACAGAGTAGGTACACGTGTGCTCGGCATTAGCGCTTGACCTTTATGCCGTTACCCTATCCTTGGTAATGTCGCGTGCACACCGGGTGATGGGTTGTTAACCCCCCGCTGTACCACCCACCTTAACCTTAGCTAAATTAATTTTATTACAAACTAAAGCTTTTTAAACGCAGTGCGAAAACGTTGTTGTTTTTTATTAGAATCGTTTTAATAAGAGCGCTCGGATCATTTCACGTGAATGTTGCTTTTTCATTACCGACTTTTTAGGTGTTATAGTCTTTATCTTAAGTAAAATTTTATTCAAATATGTTTTCTTGTTACAGCTTAACAAATTTATAAAAAGTGATTACTTTTAAAGGTTGGCTGGCCCAAACGACTGCGTTAGTCGATTTTCTGTCACTAACTGACTTCTTCTTTTATGCAAATTCCTTATTTGATTAACATAAATGGTTTTCCCAGTACTGACGTACCTACAAAAACATTACTTTCCTGCCTTATACCCGAATACAATACTCGAAAGTCAATAACTATTTTGTCAATAATTTTAAGGCAGGGTTTTGCTTGAAATTTTTTTATTGGCACCTAAATAATAATGCTCATTTTTCCCTAAATGCCTAAACATCTCTATTGTTCTCTTTAACCTTTACGTTTCAATGAAATTGCTATCCGTTCAGCCGTCTAATGATCTAGACACTTCAAATACCTACTCATCTTTATTTCCAATTCTCTTTTGTTTCTTTATTTTTGAATATTTAATCTAGAAATGTGTATGCTTCGTTACTTGAAGGGTCGTCTAGCGAGCTCGATTCCAGTTGATTTCTGGAACAAGCGCGTTTGAAATTTTCTGTTTTGTAAACTCATTTTCAACATTTTCGCATAAGCTTCAGTTATATATGAGTACCTACCATATTTAATTAATCGTCTGCCTAAATTGTCCCAAAGTATAAATTTTATGATGATGATTCTGACGACGCACTTCTTCCATAAGCAAACCATCCCCTTGGATTTTCTAGGTACTACTTATACGGCATACAGACTTGGGATTCATTTTGATAACCATATCTACCATACGGATCTACGCTTCGGCGGTCGCTTTCAGCAAGTGAATGAACGAGCAAAAATCCTACTCCTAAAAGATGTTCACGTTTTTATTTCCTTGTTCACAGGACCGCGTGCTGAATATCACAAGTCAGATAATGGACCAGCTGCTAGGTGACGAGCGAGTGGCGCGCGGCTTCAGGGTCAAGTTTCCCGAAGATGTGCTGCAAGACAACTTGGCTGGACAGCTCTGGTTTGGAGCTGAGGTGAGAACCATTGATATTTGGGTCATTCATTATCTTCAACGGGCTAAAGTTCTCTCTAATTGCATTAGTGTTATCGTTTTAGGGCGGTTTTCACAATGATCTGGAGATCAGTTGCTATTTTGCTGAGCAATGTGTCTTAAACTCATTTCCCACACGGAATAGCTATTCTTATAAATTACATGAAAAATGGTGTTATTCTGGGTGTTTGATGTGATGGGCTTATGAAAATTGATTTAAAACGCAGCCACGATAGGGAGAAAGCCCAAGTGTTTGATAGATTTTTATTTTAATCCTTATCACTTAGGTATTACTTCTATTTTAGGATTGAGATATTAAAAAAGTTGTTTCAGGCTGATTTTACGTCTTTACTAACGTTGAACTCAAAAAAGACATTAAAGGCGCAAGTGATTCGTCACTGTCAGATTAGTATCTAAAAGATGATACAAAAACATAAATTAAATAAATACATTTACTTCTTCGATTTAAATTACAGGTCGAACTTTAAACGGGCATGTCATTTAGCCAAATTAGTCGTTAAAACAATACACACATAAACCATAATCGCGCCTCTATGTAAATATCGATTTCAATTGTACAAACATACTATTGAAAAATGTATTTTTGGTTAATGACCAGTACTTAGGTTTTAGAACGTAGCCAAACGTTCTTACCAAGGTTAAATATTAGTATAAGCTGTTAGTAATATAATATTATCCTAAAATATGAATATGAGTCTATTTGTTAGTTTGTATGTATGTTGTCTGTAGCCTAAACTACTGAACCTATTTTGATATAATCCGCTGCACTGAGAAAATACAAAAGATATTCTGTTGTGTGCGGAATTTTGTCTGTTCGTTTGTATGTGTGTTGTCTTTAGTCTAAAATACTGAACCGATTCTGATATAATGCGCTGCACTGAGAAAATAGAACAGATATTCTGTTGTGTGTTAATATTTAAATCTACATACATATGCTTTAGACGAAACTCACGTACCTAATATGTTGGCTTCGCAATGGTAATTTTATACTTAGCCATAGCATTGATATCACATCGACTGGAACGCCCAAGCACATCAAGTCCGCTCGACCGTGTGTCCATCTGATTTATACAAGAGAATGGCGGCGTTAGGTGTGTAAGGGCAATTAAAATGTGAGTCACGCAACCTATGAACGAATAGGCTTGGGTATGCAAACACACAGTTCTTATATTTTACATAATATTTGATTAAAACTGCCGATTGTAAAGTTGGTTTATGTTATACGTACTTTATAATCATACATTTTATTCATGTTAAGTAGGTAGACGGGTGTATAGCCGGGGTTGTGGGGTGTAAGGGCAATAATTTACCGTGACAGCCACTCAGATCAGGAGAAGGAGCATATTGGGTTTAGTTAGTAAGAGTCTGACACCCTCTCGAACTCCAGAGTGAGAAAAGTCTTTAGATGATTTTCCTGACTCAATTTTGATACATGTTATCCCTCACATAATAATCATTATAACACGTTTATTAATCGTGTGGGAGAGCCAATATGCCAATATGCTTGACCGAACAAAAATCATTATTAGCTACATTTTTATTAATCGCGTGCTTCAGTACGAATAAGCCGCCTTGACCACAGTGATAATGGCCTCACACTAAACCGGAGTGAAACGAGCACAGCGTTGTGTTTCGTCGTGTGACTGAGTTTTCCGGAGGCCCAATCCTTTCCCTGTTGAGGTGGACAAGGTGTCAACACCTAAATTCTCAAAAAGCCGGCAACACACTATTACGATTCCTCTGGTGTTTCGGATGTCCTTGTCTGGTACCGATTGCTTACTATCAGGTAAAGATATTGCTCGTTTGCAGCTTGCAGCGGTGGCTAATAAAAAAGATGAGCGTATTCACACAAAATAATGTTTACAATACCATTTCATCAGTTCAATGCTAATTTTATTCATTGACATTTATTTATGGAATTAGGTCGTATATCGCGTTGAAAGGTGATGCGAAATTCGTAAGAACCGAACCTTTGGTCATCTATTGTATTTAGATACAATGGTTAGTCATATAATTACGGACATTATTGCTATTCTAATAAACGTAAATTAAAAATAAACAATCTATTACTATACGATTCTCGGGACCTATTTATGAGTATTTCGCGTGTGATGTCTATTCATAAATGTCAATTAATTTAACATTTTATTAAAAGTATTCAGGTCGCTTCGTACTCGGGTATTCCCTTTGCGTATACATATACAACGATCGCAGTATGTTTCTAAGCGTTAATTTTCCTTGATGCATTTGCATTAATATGCATTTATATATATTTTCTATTTTAAAACCGTGAACCCACTTTAGTATTTTCTCGTGTGTCATAGATACGTTAAAAACATACTATTTTACAAATTCATCAAAGCCATGCCCGTATCAACAGTTTGCGGACCACACAGAGTTGTTACGTGCAGGAATCGATCCCGTGACACGTTATAAGGCAGCCGGCTGCCCAGCCATGTTTATTTATTATTCTTGCGACCAGATCATAAATCACTTGTATCTATTTAGGAAACAGCATAAAAGTCTTGTGTAGTTGTAAGGGTTAAGCATACGTAGGGTATATATAGGGACAGAGAAAGCGACTATGTTTTATACCATGTTGTGATAACAAACATGTTAAAACATTCAAAGTCAAAGTCAAAATCCATACTGTATATTATAAAGCTGGAGAGTTTGTTTGATTGTTTGCGCACTATTTATTGACGCGCTAATCTAACTACTGGTTCGAATTGAATGATTATTTTTGTTTCTTAGTAGTACATTTGTCGAGAAAAGCTTTAGGCTATAAGACACCACGCTACGATTTGTAGGAGCCAAACAGCGAGTGAAACATCGCGACAGAAATTAGTACCTAATGACTTGGCTGACTGCTAAATCTACTTTCTCCATAATCAATTTTGTTAGTTTCAAAGTTTTATTTTTGTAAATTTCAGTGCCTAGCCGCCGGCTCCTCGATAATGAATCGCGAGGAAGAATCAGCGGCGATGAGGCCGCTGGCCAAGGCCCTCACTCGAAGTCTGGAGACTGTTCGGTCATTGCTCCGGGAACAGTGTCTCAGACCGAGAGGTATGGCCCTGTCGCAACACGATGATATGCTGCACGAGAGCTTGAAGATATTTGACAGGTGAGAGAACAGATATAAACCACTAATTAGCGAATGTGTACATAAGTCTAACATTTAACTTTATATATCTAATATATAAAGTTCTCGTGTCACAGTTTTCGTTGCCATACTCCTCTGAAACGGCTTGACCGATTTTGATGCAATTTTTTGTACCCGGTATCTTGAGAATCGGCCAACATCTATTTTTCATCCCCCTAAATGTTAGGGGTCATCCGCCCTAAAATTTTATTTTTTAGACAAAGTTATTAATTTCTATGATACAACAAACAAAAATACATACAATCCTCAATTTTCACCCTTCTACGATCAACCCTTATTTTTTAATAGCCAAAAACGGGTCAGCTGGTATACATATCTAAGCTCTACAATGAAGCTCTTGTGGTAGTCCTTAATAAAAAAAAAAAATTTCTTTCCACCATTCAATAAGTTTTACAAAAATGATATACAGTGTGTTAGGTTAAATGAGGTTCATATTGAAGGAGCCGATTTAAGTGAATGAAACAATTTTCAATAAGAATTGCTACGGCATCAAATATGTACCTGTCTTCTGGGCCTGAACGAAGAGAACGATTGGCTTTACAGTCCAATAAAAAATAAATAAAGTCCCACATAACTCTAAGATTAATTATAAGTAACTAGTTTTTGCCCGCGACTCCGTTCGCGTGGAAAAACTATACTATGTCCTTTCTCTATATCCAAACTATGTATGTACCAAATTTGACACAAATTGGTTCAGTGGTTTAGGTTAGGTTAGGTACGTGATGAAAAGACAAACAGACAGACAGAGTTACTTTCGCGTTTAAAATATTAGATCGGATAAAAGAATGGCGACCCGCCTCGGCTTCGCACGGGTGCAATGCTAGTACTGAATTTCTCCTCTATTTAAACGAGTACCTAAACCTTCCTGTTTAATCACTCTATTAAAAAACCGCATCAAAATCCGTTGAGTTGTTTTAAAGATTTAAGCATAAATATGGATACATTTTTTTTTAAACTTTGACCGCACTTGGATTTTCTCCTGTGTCGTGGGTGCGTTTACAAACATACAATTCCACATGCACATCACACCCAGACCCGGAACAACAATTTGTGGATCACACAAAGAGTTGTTCCGTGCGGGAATCGAACCCGCGACACGTTGCACGGCAGCCAGTTGCCCAGCCACCGCGCCAACCGTGCAGACAAATACTTATAGGGACACAGAGTTTGTTTTATACTATGTACTGATAAATATGCTTTATTGTCACTCAATCTATCGCATTTAAAAATCGTCCCTACATTTGTTTTTTATCAAATTTATTTTATTAATCAGCTGGCCCGGTGATTTACAGATTGTTCGCGGAGTTTGAGCTGTGCTATGTTAGCGCCATGGTGAACGTCAAGACGCCTCATGAGTTCGAAGCACAGCAGTTGATCTGCGTTCTATTCTCCGAGAGCTTACGGCGAGCGCTCAAACAGAATTTGCTCACTCAAGAACAGGTACCGTATTTTAGCCCATTTCCAATTTAATTAGGTGCTATAAATGATTTGTATTTATATGTATAGGTAGTATTGAAACTTATTGAATGACCGGGAAAGAAAATAAAGTTCTTTGGTCAACGCTACTAATACTATACTACATAGATGGATGGATATGGATGTAAGTGTATTTGCAATTTTGGGGTTTAGGAATTGGGGAGAGATGAGGTGGCTCGGAGGTTAAGGCGCCTGCTTCTCATACATGTACTTTCTATTATTGTTTAGACACCACTGAGATACGGTGAAGTTAAACATCGTGAGGAAACCCTGGACTTATATTTTTTTTAATGTGGAATCTCCGATCCGTCTTTCGCAAGCGTGGTGATGAATGCTCAAAACTTATAGGCTGATGATGTGATCTGTGAAGAGATGAGGGTAGAAGAAGGTAAAGACCTTCGGTAAACTTACTCACACAGCGAAATTCAATTCTGTAGTTGTTTTATTCTAGTTTGGTCGACATTCGAGCTGGCCCAAACCACGGCTCTACTCAGTAATGATGTAATGTCGATTATAACCATGGTCTATCTTTGATTCCAGGTGGACTCTTATGATCCTGCGCTGATGTTTGCAGTGCCACGACTGGCCATAGTTAGCGGACTGCTCATTTATTCCAGTGGACCCCTCAGTATAGATAAACCACCAGGTAAGTGATACATAATCACAGAATTTACAGTTCGGCCGTCGTATCTTGGCGAGTCTGAAGTTAGCCGTTTGTCTGCGCAATGGACCTTTTAGGAACAAAAATGTGTACTGCGCAACTAATCGGCTAACTTCAGACTCGCCAAGATACGTCGGCCGTACTGTACTTCACTACCTTTTTTTATTAGACATTACCCCTTGCCCCACATAAGAACTTTTCTCGTGTCGTGGGTGCGTTTACAAACATACGATTTCACACAATTCGTAGACCACACAAAGAGAATCCTAGACACGTCGCGCAGCAGCCAGCTGCCCTGCCACCGACACCTGACAACGAAACAATGAATTTAATTTACAAATAGGTCATAAAACACCAGTCAGTTTAAATCTATCCTACATATTTTTTTTACATAATTTTACACACCTCTTGCTTCATCAATTCCTTCATTATTGCTCGTCAATTGAGCGTGTTTTAATCATTTTGTCTACCGGCGGTATAAGAGACGCAATTAAAATACATTGAGAGGGTTAATAAATATATTTCTTTCGAGCAGATGGATTACCTGGTGGTAAGCAATCGGCGCCGCCCAAGGACAACCGCAACACCAAAAGAGCTACGAGTGGGTTTCGGACATTTAAGTATTGGGAAGGGATTAGGGAAGAGAAAATAATGGAGCCTCTGGTAACCTCACTCACGTGGTGTGGTTATTTCAAGCCGGTTTTCTGTGAGACCGTGGTATCGTTCCATTGAGCCGACTCATTCGTGTCGAAGCTTGGCTCTCCTACATTAGAAATAATTAAAGGTGCTCAAGCCGACTTCGCACCTGGGATTCGCATATATAACAATTACAATAACTTTTTCTATACAACAGTTTATCTAACCAACCAACTTTCTTTCTTTCTTTCTAACCACTGCACTCATTGTCTTCCAGAGGAGATGTCGGACATGTTCCGTCCGTTTCGTACCCTCCTCCACAAGATCCGTTCCCTCCTGTGGACGTTAGACCGCCGGGAGTTGTTGGCACTCGAGCGACTGCTCTGCACCAATGAGGATATCTCTAACTTGGCTGCTTTGGACCTGCCTGCCGGTGAGTAGTTCTTTTTTATAATCGTAAAAATAGTAACAATGGACTTATTTAGTTGGATTTGTATATATAATAACAATACGGTAGTTTCCAATTAGTCAAATTCAATACTTTTATCCAAATGTCAAAAATGATACTTTTCTATGAAATCTGTATGAAATACTGAGTTGTCATATCTCATACTATTTTTACGTCAAATAGTGGACTTATTTCTTCAAAATTAGCTAAAAATGTCTTAAATTTAGTGTATCGGTCGATGAATAAAAGTATAGTTATGTTTCAATATTTTATTGTATCGAAACGTCGAATTAATTTATTTTTGACCTAGGAAACTACCCTATTAATGAGTCATAAAAAAATTATGTCGTGTTTTAAAAGAGTTCATGTATTGAAATTGGACTAATGTTAGGTTTGTCACCGCATTAAGGTAGTTGATATGTTGTTTACTGGTAATCACAGTGGTTGTTTATTTTTTTTACTTTTGTATGTGATTATTCTTTTCACATGCCAGTCGTTGGGTTTATATTGGGACACGAATTCCCTACTGTATTAGTATTGTTAAAAAATTCCTGTTAATATTATGACGCAGTTTTAATCACGTTGTGTGTTTTTTCTACCAGAGGAAAAAAATTGTAAAGAAAATGGTTCGAATATTGACCTAAAACAAATATGTTTCGTATTCGCAGATCCAGAAACATCAAGCGACTGGTCGTGTCCATACCCCGACCTCGGAGAGTTTGTATCGAGGTTCTACGCAGACCACGCCAATTGCCGAGACCTGTACTCGCAGCCAAGGTATTTTAACAAAAATCAGTTTTATTTTCTAGGCATAAAATATTATTACAATTTTTAAGACATTGAAGGGATGATTAGAGACTGTAATTTCTGGAGAATTGATAACTAACTGTTTACCTAGCATACTTAGCATTACGTTTCAAGTCCCGTTTTATAGTACATTAAGTAGTGGTGAAAAAAGTAATAGAATAAAAAGGGGACCAACAGGGATTTATTTCTAAAATGATATCTACCACTTTCACGTTTGGGTTAACGTAGTGCTAATTAAATCAAGAGACTACCCTCTTGATTTGACGATGAAAGTATTTTCTAAAATTATTATTATATCTTCCATAATGGTATTTCCAGGTAATTGAATGATTTTCGAGACTCATAACTGAATATTTTTTCCAGCTCAAGCGAACCGATAGCGGACGGTGATTACCTCCCCGACAACATAGAAGTGATGACTCCCATCATAGACGGGCTGCGGCGACTCAGCGAGGGCACGGCCGACACCGCGGACTCCGCCGGCCCCGACGCCCTGCGGGGGGGACACGCGCGGGGATACTCCGATACCACCAGTACCGACACATTCCACACCAACGACAGCAAGGACTACATCGACAGGACAAGGAAAACCAGCAAAACAGAGCCCAGTGAGCTCTCTTCACTAAGAAACCTCTCCACCAGCGGACTCATGATGTTCGACCCCCTCGTCATCCACGCCGCCCCCGAAACCCGCCCCGTCCCAGACCATGATCTCGTCACCTCCCTCAATGACCAGGTTACTGAAATCGCTGACAGACTCTCTTCTATAGCCGCCAGCGACGTCGACATACTCGACCACAATCAAATGCACTCATTCTCCACAAACGATGTTCCCACACTAATTTCGACTGACGATTCCGAAGCTTACGGCTTCTCTGGACCTAGAAACGAACAATTAAGCTGTTTGCCTTCAACGAGTCACGGGTATCTCATACCCAACGCTATCAGTCACGAGCCCGCCGTGCTATCTTCCCTCTCTCACAATAACTCAGCCGTCTTCAACCAGGAAGACGAATCCGGCAACGATATCAACGGAGCCATGCTGAACTCTGATCTCCCGCTCATTATACCTGACAATATTGACGCGGACATTGTAAATACTAATATATCGATAGCTAACGCTAATTTAAGTTCGCTACTACTAACAAATGAAGAGTATAATAATTTAGTTGATAAAGACGCTGCGGACGGTGATAACACGAGTTTCCATTCGGCTAAGATGACGTTAGACAGAGAGGACGAGAGAGTTAAGTTTATGCTAGGATACGAGAGCGAACACGAGTCGCCGGTGGACTCGGGCGTCAGTACTGAGAACACTAGTTTAGATAGGTCGCCCGACTCCGACCAGAATAAGGAAATTAAAGACAATCACTTCATGCAACAAAACAGGGTACTAAAGAGTCCGGACGCGGAGACAGACGACGACAAACACACCAAAAACACGTTAGAAAGTTCCTTTTCCGATGTAAATAATGATGTTACTGTAAATATTAATTACGTTGAAGACGACAGCAGTAAGAACGAGGCGGGCTCGTCGTCCTCTATAATGGATAAGGTTATAAATAGGTTAAGCTCGGATGAGGAAGGGTTGAATGAGGCGTCTAATGTGAATAGCGAGGCGAGGCGAGTACTGCAAGACTGGGGGGCGAACGCTACAGAGGAGGAATACAGGACTATTGACGAAGTTATCACTGAACTGAGAAGGCACAGAGAGGCCGATAAGAAGATTAGTTCGTTAGTTGACGAAGACAATAATGTTAGTTCTAACCCGGACGTGGGCCCGTCCCAGTCTCGACCGAAGAAAAGTAGGAAGTCCAGTAGTAAAAGTAAAAAGAAAAAGAGTAAAATATGGTCGCCCGGTATGGTAATATTAGATAACCGGTCGACCCAGAACCAGAATAGTCCTTTAAGATTGAATTTGGATCATTTTGTTGATGAAAGGTGAGTGTGATACTTTTTTATTAACCTTTCGTGTGGCTTAGATGTGGATCCACGCGATACACTTATATTCAAGGGACTAAAGCTGATTTTAGAGTATTTTCCAATACATTAACTTTAACAAAATAAAAACTTTGATATACATACAATAGTTATACTTTTTATTTAGAGTTTTACAATATAAATATCACAAACAACAAAACTTGACTTTAAATTTAGCTAAATCTAAAGCATATGCAAAAATAAATAATTCCATGAATAAGACTACTATTGACCTGAGTTATACGAATTTGTTTTTTCTTCCAGTGGGACATCATGTGGCGCGTCAGAATGTGCAGATGACGAACAAATAGCGCTCGCATTACAAGCGCAGGAACTCGCGGCCAGACAACATGCACGGGGGAAGTTCAAGTTAGTATTTACCCACTTTTTTCTACTATTTTAAGTGTGGGAGAGCCATGCTTCGGCACGAACAAATCGTGAAACAACCACAGCGTTGTGTTTCGCCATATGAGTGAGGTTACCGGAGGCTCAATCTTTCCCTTCCTCCAATCCCTAATCCTCACAAAGTTGGCAAGTCACTCATAACGCCTCCGTCGTTGCGGGTGTCCATGAGCGGCGCTGATTGCTTACCATCAGGCAATCCGTATGCTCGTTTGCCGTCCTATCACATAAAAAACACTGAATGATAACTTATGATACTTAAAAGCGTGTTATGAGTAAGGAGTAGTAAACTATATCCAATGTGAATTACGAAATTTATTGAGAATGTCGATGTTACGAGTTTGAATCTTACATTCTCGGCTTGGGATAAGGTTGAGCCACGATTCTTATACTGTACTGTACAAAAAGTTTCAAAATTCGACTTTACTACCCTGTTTGGGTAAAAACTTTTATTTAAACCAAGAAAAAGTATTCTCTTGTCTTCTCATACCGTGCAAAAATAAACAAGTTTCAAAATCAAACTTTACTACTCAAACAATAAAAACTTTTCAAAATTTCAGATCAAGCGAAGACCTAATCCACCGTCTGTTCGTATGCATCGCCGGTGTAGCGGACCAATTACAAACAAACTTTGCGGCGGATTTGCGCAATATATTGAAATCTGTGTTCTTGATGAACCAGTCGCCTGATCCCCCCGAACCGGTCGAGGAGAAGACTCCAGCTATTGAGTACGAGGCGATGGAAGATCAGGTTATACAGAATGGTAAGTTTGATTTATGCCGCCATCTTATATCTTACTAGCTCCTCTCGCGCGGTTTCACCCGCTGCTCGGGTCCATTTAATCGTAGTGTGATGTTTAATAGCCTATAGCACTCAGGAATATTGTAGCTATCTATCAGTGAAAGAATTTTGGAAATCCGACCAACGGTTCCAAATATTACCCCCTACATACAAACTTACAAATTTTTCCTCTTTATAATATTAGTATAGACATAGCATAAGTATAAGCATACAGTCTACATAACCGTAAGGTTAAGAAGTCCGTTTGTTTCTATGCTCGATTCGTAAATTTAAAATATATATATTTTCGTGAATCTTGTGTAGAAATGTAGGTCTTAATACAAAAGAGAGAAAGAATATTTTAAATAAAAACTGCACTTATCCTACTCGTAACGGGATTAATCTAAATCGCTGTGTCCAGAAGTACTGCTTTCTGGATCAGGTCATTGACCCTGCTGTGTAACGTTAGCCAACATTAGTTTATATATATAAAAAATCAATTTTACTATTTGTTGTAATGTTATAATTCAAATTGTACAGATTTGGCTAATTTTGGTCTTGAATTATTCGGGGACATCCAGAGAAGGTTTATACACTGTAGGAACTCTAGTTGGTCTACGGGAAGTCGAAAGTTTCTGAGCCTAGGAGGTTTAAGTGAGCTTAAAACCGTCTCTGATTTAAAAAGCAAAGTTGTGAAGGTTTCGCACCGTCAACAAAAGAAAAGGAAAAAAATATTATTAAAACGTTTATTACAACCGCAGGCAGCTCATTCGACAGCGTGTACTCTGCAGAGGAAGTGTACGCGGACAGTACGTCGGACTCTACGTCCGAGGGAGGGGCGCGACCCTCCGCCCCCGCGCCGCCGGCCCCTCCTCCGCGCCGCAAGTCTCTAGATACTACTGGGAATCTACAGGCTTCTGTGTCTACTGGAGATCTCACGTACAGGTATTTAAACTTTTCAAACGACGACGAAATAATTTTTCAGCAACAATTTCTATTTGAAACTTTAAAGAGAATTTTATTGGTACAAAATAAAACAAACGTTTTTTTGATTTTGATATTCTTCTGCATTTAAGAATAGCCTTTGGTGTATAATTTTTTCTTTGATGACACTTGTACCACATTTATTTACATTATGTCTGTTACTTACGTATATCAATTATATTGTTGATAAATCTCAAGCAGATTTGGATATACATGCAGTATATCAAATCTGCTTGACATGATATCTGATTGACAATGTTAAATCTAACCTAGTATGAGATAAGGCTAGTAGCAAAAATCATTAACAGTCACATACATTAACTACCGTAAAAAGAGGTGAATAAAATTCAAGCGGTAAAAACTAGAGAATAGATAAAAAAAAAACAAAATTACTACAAAAAATAGGTGTATAGTTACATAAGGGGACCATAGATACAGAAAAGGGCTGAATTGGTAGGTAGAGTTGTTTAAAGAATGTTTATCCCCGTCAGAGAGAGCGGTCCGCCGGAGCGTCTCCCGGAGTGGGTGCCGGACATCGCGGCGCCGGCCTGCATGCGCTGCGCCGCGCATTTCACCGCCTTCCGTCGCCGCCACCACTGCAGGAACTGCGGTATGTTGCTTCATTTATCTCCACTGTATATATGCTTGAAGTATCATCTTAGACTGGTTTTCAAATTGGTCGAATTCTTTTGAAGCCTATTTAATCTAAACTATTAAATATTCATGTTCTTCTTTATTCATTTTTTTATTATTAGTGTAAATGTCACAATCTCAGGTAAATACATAATTTGTCGAGGCAGGTTTTAAAACACCAAGCTACGATTACTGAAAGCCGAGCAGTGGGTAAAACTATGCGGTTGTAGCTGGTGTTAAGTGAAATATTATATAAGACTTAATTCACATTACATAGCACTCATAACTTCTTTGGTGTTGCGGGTATCCATGTACCATCAAGTAATCCGTCTGCTCGTTGGCCGACTTAACCCATAAAAATCATAAAACCAAATGATATTTTCGTCTACCTATTGATTATTTACAAAGAGTTATGTGATGTAAAAAAAAATATAAAAACTTAATTCAACAATATCCTTTCAGGAAAAGTATTCTGCGCATCGTGCAGTTCAAATTCAATACCACTACCGCGCTACGGCCAGTTGAAGCCGGTTCGAGTTTGTGACGAGTGCTTCCGAACTATCGCCAGCCATTGTCGTCGGCCGCAGACATCTCAGTACCGGTGAAACTTCACTATACAACTTACCCTATACGATATTACTTATTCACATGTATAAAGTTGACTTGACAAACAAATATCAACTTTATTTTGTTATAAATAACTGTTCAAAATTGTATATTGACTTATATGGCCAAGCGATAATACACCTTAATTGCGATATTGTTCAAGTTGTATTTGCGTTACTCGGTCGTTAGCCCGCTTTCGGATACTTGAATATTCTGGTTAAGGTACTTAAAAGATTTTTCGTTCGTTTTGTTTCTTAGTCCTTATGCTTAATGTACATTTTGAAGAACCAATAAAGCAAGCAAATATTATATTACTGCAGTAGTAGTAAGCAGTAGTAAACTATGCTCAAAAATCTTTCTTTTCCCTTATGACAAAACAAGATTTATCTTCAGTCTAGGTTTTGTCCGTATTTTGAATCTTATTCTCACCTAATGTGGTAGGTGTAGGTCCCACATTTAAGTTTGGGAGAGCCATGGTTCGGCACGAATGAGTCAGCTCCACTGGAGTGATACCATGGCCTCACAGAAAACCGGCGTGAAACAACCACAGCGTTGTGTTTCGCTGTGTGAGTGAGGTTACTGGAGGCCACAATCCTTCCCCTCCCCCAATCCCTCCTCAATCCCTAAACCTCCAAATCCCTAATCCCTAAAAGGTCAGCAACGCACTCGTAACTCCTCCATTGCGGGTGTCCATGGGCGGCGCTGATTGCTTACCATCAGGTAATCCGGCTGCTCGTTTGCCGATCTTTTACATAAAAAACCTACCTTCAATTTGAAATACAAAAACTGACTCAATGGTTTAGACCTAGACTAAAGAAAAACCTTGTTTTGAAATAATAAATAATAACTAGTTCTTCAAGTATAGACCTTTACGCCTTTGATTTAGTTTGGAAATTCAATGGATATCATTATTATTGCTTATATGAGAGACAAGTATTTGTTGACTAGTAGTTAGTATTATGTTCGTTCCCATTCACGAGATCACAGGTCTTTTTAAAGCTTCTAGATCTTTTTGAGCGACATCAGCCGGCAATTATCCCTGTATGCACTATGAAAGGGCACCCAAGGACAATCCACGGTTGATTCAGGACTATTTTTCATATTATTATTTTAACCTACATTGTTATTGATAATATTGAATTGCTTGCAATTCTCTTCAATTTATCTTCTTCTAAGGCAAGGATCTAAGGCATTCGAATTTGGAAGAACGACCCAAGTCTGGTCAAACCATTATATGCCTAATAAGCAATTTCATATAGGGTAATCAGTAATTATATTTTTGACCATTCTGTACAATAATCGTTTTTATATTATAGTACCTATAGCCTACGACTCACTGTTCAAAATGGGGGAGCAAGACGGCACTAAAACGAGAACGAACGAAAGAGGTTTTTTTATATGGAAATTAGTGTAAATAGGAATGGTTCTTGTGTTCTGTCTCGCTTACTCCGTAAATCGGTGAGTGTGATAGAGTTCCATGTTACTGTTAAAGAAATGTTTACATATTTTCGTAAAATATAAAAATTAAAAATGTTAAATACGAATGTAAACGTTTTTTTTAGATTTGTTTACGTTTTTATGGCGATGTGGTTAAAGGCTTGTACGTGGCGTAGGTTTCTATACAAAATTTTAAGTCCAAAATCACGGAAAACCTTGGTACAAAACAAAGTCGCTTTCTATGTACCCGTATGCTTAAATTAAAAAAAAAACTACGCAACGGATTTGATGCGGTTTTTAATAGAGTAATTCAAGAAAAATGTTTATATGTATAATAAAATACATTAAACTGTAAAAAAATGCATCAAAATTGCAACTGGGTTGCGTATTTGAAAATAATATCAACGCCTAAAAACTTAATTTAGTGCGTTCCTTAGATGTTGTTTAAATGCGAGTTAATACGTAAGTTTAAGCTTGTATGGAAACGTAAACTTGCGATTTGCTGCATTTTTTTTTTTCGAAAATCTATTTGAACCATAATCACACAAATATATATAATTATACCAAATTTCATTGAACACCGTTCAGTAAGTTGCTTGTATTCCAGTATTTTGGACTTGAAAACTTGTAAAGCAACCCTCGCCACGAACGACGATGTAAAGAAAATACTATTTTTAATAAAATTATTTTCACATTTGATCCATCGAGAATTCTTAATAAACCTTCCTTCAATATCAGATCTTAATACGTGATATTAAAGATGAGATTTCACTAACTCTTTGACTCTTTGTGTTTAACGACGTTTTTCCAAGGACTATTGTTAAGTTCATCTTCTTTCTTGAAATGTAAACTTTTTTCAGACAAAAAATCTTCTGTTCGAGATATAAATTAATATTTCCCTTATATTCGACTTTTCGTCCAATCATAGTGTATCTTTACTATAGTAATGTTATTCCAAAATTAACTTTGTAGGTGTTTGTTTAAGGTGTATATTTGAATCTTATTACCAATCATTTGATTTTTATTTTAGTTTATAACTAATTCATCTTGCACAGATCATTATTATACCACGCCACGTCGTGTGTAGCGCAATGCTTCTCATACATATGAGTCCCTTGTGTGGCTTGAAATGTGTCGAGTTATCTCGTTAACTAGGTACGTAAGTAATCCGTTAAACATAATTATTATTATACAAGCAGTTGCAAGAAGTATTGAGTTTTTTATCAAACAATTATACACCTTAAATAAAACTGAAATTTGTTGAAGAAGTGTTGAATAAATAAATAAAAATATGTATAAGTTTGTTTCATATTGACTGATATAAAATTTTTCGCGTAAGGAATTTCCATGTTTGGTTTTAGGTAGCTCTCTAAATATTAATATTGTTGCTACGTGTTTTATTGTAATAAGGTTCTTATTTGCATACGCCGATAAATGCCAGTTTTAGAAAGACTTGATTAGAATTCCGATTGTAGTGCGGGAAAAAAGACTTTATTGTTTTGGCTCTGGAGTTCTATGTCAATAAGAATGAAAATAGGTCTTCCTTTTAACTAAATAGTGGGTGTATTTGAACTTTGGGTAAATAAAGATTAATCAAGTTTCTTCAACGAATTTTAGACTTCATCGTTATGAAATAAAGTCGAAAATTCGCTGAAGTAATAAGAGAACTTTGTATTGCTTGAGTGTCATTACTTGAAAAATAAATCACAGTCTTCCCAAATCCCGTATTTTAATAATACGTCAACTAAATCCGCCTTAGTCCATGATATTATTTTTAATCGTACACACATGGCATTTTTATCGATATGGCTTTATCGGCGAATGCAAATACCACTACGACGCCCCAAAATAAATAATGGAAATCGTTTTGTTTATAGACTAGTTAGGAACATTTGAAAAGTATATTTTTAAGAATACTATTGTCTGAATTTTAGGTCTCTAGTTAAGGCGTAGTGCGGTGACAAACTTACAACTTATCGATAATAATTATCGTTATAATCCATTAACGTTTGCCGCCTCACTATGCCTTACCTTTTTAATATTAATCTATGACTTTAAAATAAAAAAAATAAAACTTTAAAAAGATTCCATAATTTTTATATCCAAGAATAGTTGTATAAGCATTCTTTTATTGTTAAGTTGAATGTTTGTAAATTTTGTAAAGGTAATGAGTGTACCCACGTAACCATAGATTTTGTATATTAAAGATGGTGATTATAATAGCTATTTTCAAAAACATGTTATAAGTGATAGGTATGATATTTTAACTTGTAAATAAATTTCGTTATTAGCTATCAATGGTTTCATTTTTTCATACTGCCTCTTAGTACTATCTGTATATTCATTCGTTGGTAGGGCTTCGCACCTCGCAAGGAAAATCGGATCCCTTATAGGATCATATTTTATTCAATCCATCCGTCCGTCGTTCTAGTTTTTAGTGCCAGAGGACGGTTCTTACAAAAGAAATGAAAAAAACTAAGAGGGGTAAGGGGCATGAATTGGGTCTCCGATAACCTGATTCACACGGCGATATACAACGTAAGTGTTGCTGGTATCACTCCGGTCGACCCGTCCCATTCGTTTCGTACAGAAGCATACCTAGCTCTCCTGTGTAAAAGTTTGTAAAATTCGTATAGTATTAGAATGCTGTACCCAATATAAATTAAAGTCCTTTTTTATATCAGGGGAAAATCATCATATGACTTCTCCCGCCCAGGGTTAGGCGAGAGAGAGTGTCAGACTCTTACTGACTAAAAACCCCCCGTTCTTTCTCCTGCTCTGGGCCGAAGCCGCGGTGACTCATTGCGCTTATTCGTACATATTTAAAGCAGCTCATTGTACCACAATGAGGTACTGACATAGACAATGGTCCAAAGGATATCGAACATGTTATATAACAGATAATGACGTACCTACTAATTAGTGATGTGACAACAAAGCCTACGATATATTTGAAAATTCAATGTATTCTCATTCTGCGCCAAAACTAAGTTCTGACTCGGAAAAGCCTTCATAAATATCATCCGTTACTTACACCAAATGACGCTGATATTTATGGTGATGAAAAATTTGGCTGATAACCAAGTAGTTTGTGTTTATTTAATTACCTCTTCTTGTTAATATTCACAATGCCCACACATATAATCTGTGGACCTTCTTATGCACATTTTTATACTACACTATCACCTAAACACAGACTGGGTTAAGGATATTTAGTAAGTATCTAGTATCGCTCATGCATTTTGCGAAATACTAAACACTCATTAACTTCACTCTTAATTAATTTAATTTCAAGTCAAAGCCTAGCCTACCATATGGTTCGTACCGAGAGGGACCGTCTCCTCTTTCTGCGAAGCAGTGATGCTCGCAAAGGAGGAGGCGGAGCGCGTGAGGGAATTATCCTCCTCACGCCCCAGCCGCCGCAGTAGGCGACATTCCGGGCGTCGGGGATCTAGAGATGATCTCCGGCCACCGTAAGCTCGGATCTACGGACGCCTCAAAGAGCCAATAGACCACCACAGACGGGGCCCTATAGGACTGATGTTCAGCCGGGGTTACGGGTTAAGCGCAATGAGTCACCGCGGCCTCGGCTCAGAGCAGGAGAATGTCGTATGATGAGAGTCTGACACTCTATCGCCTTACCTTGGGCGGGAGAAGTCATTTGATGATTTTCCGCTGACAACAAAAATAAGCCTACCTTTGTATTGGTTTGTATACCTATTAATTAGTAGATATTGAAATCCTCAAAAACATACATTATTTGGCTGCATGATAACATGTCATTACAAGGGCAAAAACAATACCTGTAGATGGATTAATCTAACGATCCATTAGCAAATCCTACTTGAGCCTCACTAAGCTAATATTACAATACCTGTCTAACTAGAGATATCATTGTAACATAATGATACTAAAGTTCAAAAGTATCGAATGACATCATTCGTACGTTGACCAAAACGCAGTATAATTCGGTTGAAATATCTAGATAATGTACGTGTAGATAAGTCATAAGTATTGCATATCAGGTTGATAAGCGAATGAAAATGTTTGGAACAGGTTCAGTCCGTAATACAAAGCCGTTGTGACGTGACGCCATGCCGATTATAATACATAAAACCGATGTAAGTCCGCCGGCACGCGCTACACTAATCCTCGCAGAATTGCTCGGTCTTAAAATCGAAACTCGCGAAGTGAATCTACCTTCAAGGCAACAATTCAGCCCTGAGTATTTAAAGAAGAATCCACTGCATACAGTTCCACTATTAGAAGATGACGGCTTAGTACTTCAGGACAGCCATGCGATCATGATATACCTCGTATCGAAATATGGGATTGAGCATGAGAGTTTGTACCCTAAAGATGAAGCAGCAAGAGCGATAGTCAATCAACGCTTGTTTTTTGACGCGTCTATACTCTTTCCAAGGTTGAAATCAGTTATTTATGGTACTGTAAAGCATGGGATACCAATGACAGAAGCTCAGGAGACAGATATAAAGGAATGTTATGAAGTTGCTGAAAAATACCTTACGAATCAATATATAGCGGGTGATTGTTTGACCTTGGCCGATATCTCGTGTATCACTACTATATCTTCACTAGACTGTATCGTGCCCATACATTTAAAGTACAGGAGGCTTCATAACTGGTGGGATCGACTAAAGAAGGAGCCGTGGTATCAGAAGATTAATCAACCAGGATTGGCGCTCTTTGGGAGATTTATCAAAGGCTTTTTGTAAAATGTATTGTTTTGAAATTATTGTACCTAATGTTATCAAATATAGTTTGGACATTGGACAAATTGTAAATACAAATGACAGTACCTATGTTTGTTCTTTCCTTCCAGTTTTGAGCAGCTGATTAAATTTGCGGTGTGCTATATGCAGGGTTTCGATAGTTTTAGACCTCATGACATAGTTAATATTCCCCGTTGAATGTTTTAGTTAGCGCTGCTTTGGTATGACGAATGTAAGTAAGGTTAGATACTCTGCAATGTATGTTTTATCAATCCACAATATGTTTAATAAAATAGATGTTTCAAATATCCATTGCAACAAATACAAAAAATTCACTTACCTTACTACAAACAGACAAACTTATTTTATTAATTATCAAGTTTTTGGTATCCCTCTTGGATACTTCTTCCAGAAAATATTTCACACGAATAGGAAAAAATATTCTTAGGTATTTTAGACTGTCTTTTTGAATTGAGTTTATTTGAGCCCTGACCGGGGTGAGAATGTGTAGGTACCTTTTGATGTTGTTAATTCTCTTTAACGTTTATTTTACTCAAAGGACAGCTAGTAAGTTGACCATTATAAAAAAAAATAATGACCAAAAAAATGAAAATAATGAATTTTTTATTAAAATAAATCCTTCCAATCTAATAATATGTAAAAATAATGTAGCCAAACTTTAGGTTTAGGTCAAGGTTTAGTTTTTTACTTCTTAGAGTCGTCGTTATCATACCAACGTCTTATGTCGTATGGCGGGTATCCTGGTGACTCAAACGGCATCTGAGGTCTCAATCTTATTTCATCGCTGAAATAAAGGAAATCTTTATTACAGCCCAAATTAATTATATACGCATGATACTATCAATTCAATGTTTTCAAAATGTCTTTGTTTCATTTACTATCTACTAGCAAAATTATTGAATGGCAGAAAATTATGGTCCAGTTGTAATTAGTGGCATAAACTAACGAGGTACGAGCTTCTAAAAGTAGTGAAATTCGGAAAAACAGCAATTAAAGTTGTTCAAATGCGTACTTACTTTTCATCTACAGCCCGAGGCATGCTCTGTATTTTAGGACTTCCATTACTTTGTTCAAACTGTCGCTCGTATGGTTGATCAAACCGCGACTCTGGCTGCAATTCCTGGGGCAAGTCGGCAGTGTCATCATGCAGATTTCTATAGAGCTCTTCAAATGTTTGTTCAGTTACTCCTTGTTGTGGCTCACTGTCGGACCCATGGAACTGTTTATACATTTGCTCAAAAGTTTGGATTTCACCGCGGGTAAGCTCCTGTTCATTTGATGGAGACGGCCGTTCCCGTAGTATGTGACTTGTATCAACGGTTGGCGATGAATCTCCTATGTTTGATTGCACTAATGGTTGCAAGGATTGCACAGACTGAGGTGAATTTGATTGTCCTTTATCACGTAGTATATTATGACGTTGCTCGTAAGGTTCAACTGGTGCTGGCTTGAAAGGCTGTTGATTATTATTGGAGGTCCCCGAATTTGGTTGTTTGTTTGATTCTATGGGCTGAAGTGTAAATGAATCCTGCGATGTCATTTTCAATGGTTCGTCATCATTTTCATTCAATAATGCTAGTGGATCAAAAATGTCTGATTCCGATTCAGCCGGTGGTGATTTAAATGCTTCTGTTTGAAGAGTACTGTACGGTGATTGTGCGTAAGAATCTTGTTCTCTAAACTGGTCTTGAGGTTGATTGTACGACTGTTCAAGTTGGTGATTGAAAGGGTCATTTTGTGGTATGTTGAATGTATTTTGTCCCGCCTGCAAGGGATCGGTTTGTGGCAATTTGAAAGCATCCGAGCTTTGTTGGTTATAAGAGAAGGATTCCTTTTTGGAGGGTATGAATTGTTCTGTATGTTGTTGAACATTTTGGTTTACTGAACTTTGTTTCCAAGGGTCTACTAGTTGTTGGCCAAATTGGTCTGCCTGTTGAACTTGAAATGATTCTGCTAATTGACCTTTACTCTGTGGTTGAGACCCAAAATCACTTTGCTGCTGGTTAAACGAATTTTCCTGCCCTCTAGCGTACGTTGCGGTGTCTATTTGTTTGTATGGCTGGTTTAATTGTTGATTATTAAATGATATTTGTGGTTGATTGTTTTCTGATACCATTTGCTCTTGTTTATATAAATTCATCTGCGATTGATTAGATGGATCTGCTAGTAATTTATTGGCTTCATTCGATGGCAGATTAAATGGAATTTGAGGTTGTGCAAATTGTTCCATTTGTAGGCTAGATGAGCCTATTTGCTGTTGGTTAGGCTGACTCATCTGCTGTTGTTCAAGCTGCCCCAATTGCTGTTGGTTAAATGGTTCCACTTGCTGCTGATTAGGTTGCTCCATTTGCTGTTGATTAGGCTGCCCCATTTGCTGTTGATAAGGGTGCCCCATTTGCTGTTGATTAGGTTGTGCTATTTGCTGTTGGTTAGACTGCCCTATTTGCTGTTGATTAGGCGATCTTAACTGTTGTTGGTCAGGTGATTCCATTTGCAATTGAACAGGTGACCCCATTGGTTGATTAAATGTGTCAAGTTGAAATTGATTAGGTGAACTAAGTGGTATTGTTTGAGGCTGGTTAAATACTTCTTGAGGAGGTTGTTCAAAAGTTTCTTTTTGTTGTTGATCTTGAAAAGCTGCCATTTGCGGATTAAATGTGTCAGTAGGAGATCGATTTTGTGACCCTGTTTGTAGTTGATTATAATTACTCATTTGTGGATCACTAAATGTTTCTATTTGTTGCTGATTATTATTATAGGATGGAAGTTGTTGTTGTTTAAAATTATCCACAGCCTGCTGGCCTTGCGATTCAAGTGGCTGTTGGTCATTAGGCGGTGGTTGTTGCTGAGGAAAAGTGTCTGGTTGCTGGTTTTGCATTTCTGTTTGTTGATGGTTGAAAGATTCACCTTGAGGTTGAATATAAGCTGATTCTTGGTTATAAGCTGAAATCTGAGATTGGCTTAAAGAATTAAATTGTTGTTGATTTAGGTCAACTGGTTGTTGCACTTGACCTTGAGATTGTTCTCTGTATTGTTGCGCATTAGGTTGAGGCACGTAATCTGGTTGTTGATTTTGTAATTGGTAGTATGGATTAAGTGTACTTGACTGTGAAGCCGGTGCATTGTAAAATTGTTCAGCAGGAATTTCCATATTCAATGATCGTAGAGGGTTGCCGTGCTCGTCCATGTTTCCTAAATCTCTGGTTGGTCGCACATGCAGAGATTGTTCTTCATTACCTTGTCTCAAGAAAGGTGACATTTTCTGGTTACTTTCTGCATCCGGGTCTTTTGGCGTATCGTTAGGCCAAAGTATTTCTATATCATGGACTTGATGTTCTTTGTTATCGTTGTTACAGATGTTTCGTCTGCAAAATAACAATTTTATTTGATGTAAAAAGAAAGATGTACAAAAATTTTACAATGCATTTTCTGGATGTCAATTATTCCACAAATATAATATAAACTAGCCAAAACACTCATATTTTACACAATTATTGAAATACTCACTTTGTTTCATTCGTTTCCAAAAGGCATTTGATTATATCGGCGGTTTCCGCTGTACTGACGTAGATTCTAGGACCGATGCAATCGAAGTTTGGATTAGGGATACCATTCAGTGCCACTCCCAAAACTACCTCCTGTGTGCCAACCCACGAGGTGAGGGGACCGCCATGATCATTCTAGAAATATGATTGTAATTATTAAGAAGCTTTATAAACTAAGAACCTTTTTGGTCCTCTGCGAAGCATCAAGTGCAATTTCAGACTACGTATTACTCTACTACTACCTACTACTTATTTTCTGGTATATTTCGATTTCCTAAATAGGAATGATGATTATCTGTTTTGAAGTCCGATTTATAGGTGGATTAATTTAACTCAATAGAATTCAAAACTTTCGACAACTTATTGATTTGGCACAACGTAGGTACGGTACGTACCTCACACTTCTAAATTGTTTTAGTTTTATCTAGGTATTGTTGTTATAAGACAAGATAAAAATACGTCAATTTTTTCATTATCTTACTCACTAATTATTTAATTAGTATTTTTTGAAAATAACGATAGTTTAAGTATAATATAATATTTTCAAGTCACTACGGTATGTCAAAGCAGCAAGCTTATCGCGCCGATGTTATTTTTTTTTGTTTATTGATGTTGCGCAGCCTACGAAACGAAACTCTTTTTAGTTAACTCGCGTGAATAAGCCGTTTTTTTTCACCGTAAAATAATGGTAGGTATACTTAAAATAATTATAAAATAATCTATCTCACCTGACAAGTCTTCATTAAGGGAGATCTTATTGCCTCCATTTTACTGCCTTTTTGTTCATTCAGTTGTGGTTCTCTATTGACAGTATCGGTTTCATTAATTTTTTTATGCCGTCTTTTGCGCAACTTTTCAATGTGTGCATCTACACACTATAAAATTATAATAATATTTAGGCTCAGTAAAATAAACTGTTGAGTTTGGATAAGACTTATGTTTAAAGTGTCAGGCGAATAACCTGATCAGGAAACCAATTACTTAGGAATGTACTGTTTTACTTGTAAACATTAATTTTACTGGCTTAACTAGTCTTAAGCCAAAGATACTCTTACCCAAACAGCCGCAGCTGATAAATTTGTTTTTTTTTATTCAATAGGTCGGCAAACGAGCCGACGTATTACCTGATAGTAAGTAATCAGCGCCGCCCATGGACACCCGTAACGGAGGAGTAACGAGTGCGTTGCCGACCTTTTAGGGATTAGGGTTTTGGAGATTTAGGGATTGGGAGGGATCGGGGGAGGGGAAGTTGGGTCTCCGGTAACCTCACTCACACGGCGAAACACAACGCTGTGGTTGTTTCACGTCGGTGTTCTGTGAGGCCGTGGTATCACTCCGGTCGAGCCGACCCATTCGTGCCGAAGCTTGGCTCTCCCATACTTAAATACTTGGTATATGTGATTGTTTAGAAACTTTTTTGTTTTCAATTAATTTAAAACTTACAGCGCTTTCTGTTGAGTTGTATGAACATCCGTCAAATGTCTCATCCCCATCTTCGACGACCAATCCATTCCCAGAAGCACACAGCATGTATTTACTTAGTATATCCTTCAATATATTGCCTTTCAATAAGTTTAAACATAATTCCTTGTCTATTATAGTTGTCGACGCTTCCTTAAGTACTTGAGGTTTATTTTGCAGTGTCGCTAACTCCTCGGGCTGAAGAAGTTAAAAATTAATCTTATAATATGTGGCTATTCCTAAAGTTGTTTTGTTGCGCATTATTTTTGTGTAAGCCGTGTCACTACTGTGATTTTCGGGCTAGGCGTCTTGGACTTGATTTTAGATTGGGTTAACCAATATTCAAAATCGGATTATGTGTTTCTATTGTTTCAGTTTCTTATTTTTAAAGTTATAAAACATTTGATATTTTTTGCATATTCTAAATTGCTTACTTACCTGTCTTACATTGATTCCTCCCCATCCTAATGCTGTTGCTCTAGTATTTTCTAATTCATTTTTCTTATCATAATTGATTAATATACTTTGAGGTTCATATGAGCAAAAGGTTTGATATGATAGGTCAGTAAAATTGTACGGTTCATCTACTGTGGCCACGCCTAGGTCTATGTTCGTCCAATCAGGCTTTATGTCATCGGCCATCCTGTACTCTAAAGGTAAAATATTTTTGAGCTTGTATCTTTAAATATTTGATGTAATCTGCTGTTTGTATTAACATAATAGCTTTAATATTGATATACTCGATTGACACAAACTTAGGAGCTGCGGTATCAATATCATTTTTCTATTATTTTCAATTAGTGACTACGTTATTTGGCTTGGTTCGGCTTGGCTAATACCCTTAAACTATCGTTTTATGGATCCGTATTATTCGTCGAGTAGAAAATTAAAAAAAAATTAAAGTGAAACATGTAAGTAGTCACATTTTCTAGAAAATAATAGCAATTAAACCGAGCCTATCTCTAAGAGCTCAAGTCGCGTCAGCTCATACAGGGAAAACATGTTTATTTAATTTTTTTACAAAGTTCCTAGCGATAACGCATGCAAAGCTCCAGAAAATAAATGTAATACGTCATTAATAATAGATAAAAAACTTGAAAGTTTTTAAATATTTTGTACCTTTTGGAACGGAAACCTTAACAATCTTTTTCTTCCATCTTTTAGTGCATTCGTCATTTTCTATATCATTTCCGTGCACATATTTCTTATAACCAGCAATTGCATATATTTTGTCTACTTGTACAAGACAAGCAGCTGCCGTCAAAATTTGTGTAGGCGATACAATAGCACCTGCACATATCCATGCCTCATCATCGGCTTTTGAAAATGGTGATTTGACGAAATATACCTGTACAAAAATTGAAGATTTATTTATTTATTTATAAACACACTTGCATAATTTTACAGCACAAGCCAAAACATTATACACTTATAAAATTTTCATTTTACTACTTTGTAAGTACAATAAATATAATTACTTAAAACTAATTTATAAGCTATCCATCTTATCACAGAATCTTACACATTCACGACATACATCCTTCTCGCTGCGAGTGAGCTTATAAACCTCTCTCCCTCAACACTGCTCTCAATTATGGCACAGATTATGGGGAAGACAAAGTTATCATGGTGGAACTTGGAGACATCATTGCTTCATTATTACCAGATAATGTAATATTAACAAGATGTCAAATTGGCAAATTCCTGTTGTGGCAGCATGAACGTCCCGTGGTGTACGACCACCTAGAGGATGCACTTGAATGACGGCTAACAGGGCTCACATTCAGGAGAAAAAGTCTGTACTAATTACGATAATGACGATGATGTGGAAAAAGTGATAAAAGACACTTACGAGATATTTCTTTCCTAAAATACTGTCATTGCCAAGATCCATTGGTCGATGACTTGTGTAACACACTGAAAAAAAAAAACAATTATTTTTTTACAAATAAATAAATAAATATAATAAATGACATCATTGAATCATCCGACAGAACAAATAGCAGCAGCAGCATCGCATACAAACATTAAACCTCTAATAAATGAATTTAGACAATGCCGATTTGAAATCATGTTTGTAGGTAGGTACTTATAGGTAATCTTGCTGGAGATCTACCAACTGAACCGAGACTGATTAAAGAAATCAATATCTCTTACATTGCCATTTATCTCTTAATTAGTTAATAGTTACACAACAATGAAATAATGACTACCGTACTAACACCTGAAAACAGTTATCCAAATCAATATGTAAAAGCTCGTCAGCATTGTAGCAACATTGATTAATTTTTCCATTAAATAAAATTTCAAGCCCATTTTCGAGTGAGCACTCAACCGTTGAATTGATTGATAAACAAATAGTCGATTTCAAACGGAAAGGTACACTTTTTGTATAGAGGTTAAGAATTACAAATTGAAAATAAAATATGATGAAGATGCTGATTTACTTTTTAATTATAGGTTTTGGTACCATGACTAAACAAGTTTGCCTTGTGGCGTTGCTACAATTCACAGACATTTTAGGCACCGTGCGTAACGATTAAAAATTTTGTCTAAATGTGACATTTTTACATTTAATGAAATTCTCGAATTGAGGTACATAATTATTTTCCTGGTCATAGCCACAATACAAATTTTTAAGCACATACAATTGAGTTCAATTAAATGTGCTTATAAATTTGTAGCACGAATGGGTCGGTTCGACCGAAGTTATACCACGGCCTCACTAAAACCGGCGTAAAACAACCACAACATTGTAATGTAAAATAATGACAACATGCAACAGGGATTAAATTTTATTCGAATATTTTTGTGACTTCACAAAAGCATTTGATAATAACAATCGTAGAAATTAGGATTCTACGACACATATACCTATATGTATAGTGGGATCCATCCATCTTATACACCTGTATAAGACACATCATCTGTTTGTATTAACACATTCAGTGCCCCCGACGCGTATGTGCGTTTCCTCGCACGCACATACGCGTCGGGGGCACTGAATGTGTTAAGAATATAAATTCTATAAAAAAAATCGTGTCTATAAAATCTTGTCTAAAAAAAATAACAAAAGAAGAGAAAATTGGATTGCCACAAGGGACAAGACTGGGCTCAGCCTATTTTTCTAACTATAGATAGAGACATGGAATTACAAGTATTAACTTAATGGTTATTTTTTATTGTGGCATAATAAGAATTATCGTCAATGAACTTAAAACGAAAAATTCCTTCGCCGCAAGTCATACAGCGAACGCAGCAATATAATGAAATTACATAAAAGTTTACTTTTCCACTGGAATCCAATTATTCTGATGAACACAGTCGAATCATAATTTTAACATTGCAATAAATCGAAGCTATGTTTTACAATGCTAGCAATAAAGTTAAAATTATTGTTACTTTACATGGTTCATGATGGTAAGTTTCATTAGATTACTAGAAGAAAAAATATATCCTCAGAACGTAATTTCAGAACTTTGGGGTAAAACTGTAATATTGTCCGTATATCAGTTTTACCACAAAATGTTTACTCTTTACATTTGGTCATGCTAAAGTCCCATTAAATAATGGACAAGTTTGTACTGGACTTCACATTGTTCCATCTAATCATTATGGTAAAGGGTTAAGTTGTTCTTACTTCTTAGGACTAATTCAAAGTATTCAAGCACTAAAAACTTTTTTGAATTTGATTAAATATTTAGCGACGACTGCGGGTACAAGAAGAATAAAAGATGGTGTACCAGTTGAAACACCGAAAAAATATGTGGCAAGTATTGAAAACATTACCATACATAATAATAATACAAGTATAGAGCGCATGGTACCCCTTCAGGCAAGCCAGCCTTTGGCAGGGAAGACCTACTTATTCATGTGTTGATGATGATCAATGTTAATAAACGTTGTGGAATGATATTTTTATGGGATAGATCAGTGAACTAGACTACGGATTACCTGATGATAAGCGATCAACACCCAGAACACAAAAGAGTTACAAGTCTTTTACCAGCTTCTTGTAGATGGTTAAGGATTTGAGAAAAGGGGAGAGAAATGGGGATTGGAGATGGGTGAGGGGTAGTTTGAGGCTCTGATAACCTCACTCACACAGTGAAACATACACAACAAGTGTGTTCCATGCCGCCGGTAGTCTCTGAGGCCTTAGTATCACTCCAGTCGAGCTTGCAAACTCATATCAAACCATGTCCCAAACTTTAAATTACTAATAATTGGTTGTTCTGTATAGGTTTATTTGGTTAAAGCACCGCTATCGAAGGCTCCATATGACAGTTGGTTATGTGGTGGTGCAATTGTCAGCAGCGAATTTGTAATAACATCAGCGGCTTGTGTCAACGATGTAGACTACATGTATGTTATCTCTGGATATAACAAGTACATTCCGAGTGATAAGAATCGAACGAATCGAACTTGACAAGTGCACTGCCTGGACAAAAAAACGTGTCATATATACTTGTGTGCCAAAAGGTAAATATGGACAAACATAACATAACACTGAGTCTTTTCATCCGCAAACAAGAAGTAGTTTTTTTTTATTTAATACGCAAAGCAATCCAACAGACGTGTTTCCTGATCGTTAGCAATCCGATACCCACATAACCAGAGGAGTTTTGAGTGCATTGATTTGATAACCTTTGGGAGATTACGGTTTGGGCTATTTAGGGATTGAGGAGGGGAAGTATTGGGTCTTCGGTAACCTCATTTGCACTGCGAAACAAAACGCTTTGGTTACCATGCTATGTGTGTGGCTATCACCATAGTCGAGCCGAACCATTCATGCCAAAGCATGGCCCTTCACATTTATAGATATATAACAAGAATATATAATATAAATGTATCAGATGTCGAATTATTACCATACAACATAAACAATGCTAAGAAATTTTAGTTCTAGTTCTAATTACCACAGGCAGCAAAAACAATAAAATTGAAATATCCTGTATTGATTACTTAAATAATATTGCATGACATTTGCATTTCAGGTTACCAACTAAAGTACGGAGAGCTAGATTATTGGTCATTAATAGACATAGCCTTAGTCAGAGTAGAGACACCTTTTGACTTCAATGATGCTACTTATGAACAACTGTGCTCATACAAACCAACCCCAATTGCAATCAATTATGAAGAAAAGTATCAGGAACCTGGAACTGATGCTCTTGTACTGGGATGGGGGCATATAGATAAATGGCGAAAGGTAAAATATTTGAAATGATGTCAATGTAGATACTGTTAGTACTTCTTCTGTTTTCGCAACTATTGTAAGTCTAAGAAGCGACTATGAGTTGACCACAATTGATATAAGTCTCTCTGATAAACCTGATCCTTTTACAACAGCAACAGATATCATCAGTCCATTATCTTTGGACATTATAGTAAAACCATTTTACGTAAGAAGAGGGCACCTTTTCTAGCAGTGGCGCATAAGATTTAATACATAAATAAACTATATCTGAAGTCCAAATATTTATTTGAAGCATAAAGTATCATGTTACATTAATATTTTCAGAACAAAGATAAAAAAGATCACAATCAAGAGTTGCTGAGATATGCTCCAACGTTGTTACTCAATAAGACAACTTGCAAAGAACATTATGAGGACTATGCAAATATGAGTTATGTTATCGAAACATATATGATATGCACTCTAGGTAAAGGTAATATTGATGATGGAGGCAATACAATTGTTACTAGTTTACCAATACAAAATGGATGCACTAAAGAGCAGGCGAAAGTATTAGGATTTGAGGGAGTGTCAGTAAGTAATGTTGTTTTTAATTTTTGGGCCTGTAAGCGTTTTTAATTTATCTCACGTTTTTACGATTGTTGATATACAACCTTTATCTACACCGTAATATAACTTGATTGAATTTACAATAAATTACTAGGTTGCTACGCAAGACAACACCGATAAAGTAAAATTGGTGATTTGATGAAATAAAAAATCTGCGGTTCTAAAATAAAGTAGTATAAAGTTCATTATTTAAAATAAACGTTTCTTTGGTATTTAGTGTGAAGAAGAAGAATATGAGGACGGTGATGAAACAAGAAGGCAGTTAGATGGAAAAGATGGCTTAAATCAAACGTATATTGATAATATGGCTGGAGGATTCAACGAGTCCATTGATTGGAAGTGGTTAGAGACGGGAAGGAGAAGTGGAATTTGTCAGGTAAAGCTACAAACATTCCGAGTTGATAAAAATATGACGTAGATAATTCATGTGTGGGAGAGCCATGCTTCGGCACGAACGGGTCGGCTAGACCGGAGTGGTACCACGCCGCAGAGAAAACCGGTGTGAAACAACCACAGCGGTGTATTTCGCCGTGTAAGTGAGGTTACCGGAGGCCCAATCCTTCCCCTTCCCCAATCCTTCCTCAATCCCTTAATCTCCAAATCCCTAATCCCTGAAAGGTCGGCAACGCACTCGTAACTCCTCCGTTGCGGGTGTCCATGGGCGGCGCTTTTTTTTTATGTAATTTGCCGACCAATTACATAAAAAAAAATGTTTTTTTTTAATCTTTTTCCTTAGAGTCCTTCAGTTACTTACAAAGTTCAAATTCTTCGGAAACCGCTTATTGCAAAGAAAGTCTTTGTTCAGCAGTAAGCGTTTTCCGTTTGTCTAACTTCAGTTCTTTATTCACCGCCTGTTTTATTTATAGTTAATTCACCTTGGCTTTTTTATGACTACAGAATGATCATGGAGGACCGCTTATCACGTGGTCAGGAGCTCGTGAGATTTTAATAGGCGTGGCATCAGTATTTAAAGTATCAGATCAATACGACTGTATGGGCCCATACTTATTTACAAGCACTCTTTGTACAGGGCTGTTTTTGGATTGTATATTGACTTCTGCAATGAGTTCTAGCCAAAATGGCACGTCTAAGAATCGGTGAGTAAATACTGACATGCATTTAATTGTGTGAGAGTAATGCATCGGCACAAATAGGTCAGCTCGACCGCCAATCCACGGCTTCATCGAGAATGGGCGGACAGCAACCGTAGTGTAATGAATTATACGTGTTAATAAACCCTGTATGTCTATTAAAACAATAAAGTTCCATCTAGCACTACAGTAAATGGCAAATGAATTCAATTTCATATTCACAGAAGGGATTTATGTGACAGACCGTCATATGAGAAGGGATATGAGACTGTGGAAAGACACATAAGATGGAAAGATAACCCACCTGTGTGAGTAATCGTTTTTAGTATAAAGTATATTTGCAAATATTTGGCATTCAAAATAGTCCTCCTTCCAAATATACTACTCCTGCAGTCAGGCAAAAACAACTTTCCAGCAGAGGTTAATTTTTTATCAGAAAGCATCTGATGCTTCCTCTCACTCCTCTCCCAATAGGGAAAGCCATTGTATGATTTCTCACAGTCTATATAATTAAAACAAAATGGCAAAAATCACTAATAAATAATCATAATGATAGTAAACAGTTTCATATAGTGATCAAAAATATATTTTTAATAAAAATAGTTACTAAATTGTTAACAATATTACGATTTTTCAGTCGAACTGTTTACAATGGAAGAATTGTGAGATCGAGTTCGGATGCAAAATCTGATCTTAACGAAGCACATACTAGTTTCATTTCAAGCGAAAATAATCAAGAAACGGCTCCTGGAAAACATCCACTGAATAAAATGTATTTTAATATTTATAATCCACTGCGTGCAAGTGCACAAAAAACAGAGAAACCAGTAGAAGAAAATACTCAACACCAAGAAAATAAAAAAGGCGTAGCTAATAATGCTTCAAACATTAATGAAAGTCATCTTGCATTGCTTACGATTGCATCTGTACCTATTAATGATGAAAATGGTATGCCAGAAAATGTTAGGTTGCAGGGCGACCACACAAAGCAGCAAAATGTAAAAGTTAACTATATGCCATCTCAAAATGAAAGAATACTTTTAAGTTACGGAAAAAACACTAATAACGGATTTCCTTATAATAATGGTATGTCCATAAACACTGGAATAACTGGATATAGTCAAATTGGTGGAAATAACGGAAAACCAGCCAGTAACGGAATGGGAATAAATAATGGAATATCCGGTAACCATGAAATGCACGTAAATAGCAGGATTATTGCAAATAAAAACGGAATGCAAATTAATAATGGTATACTTAGAAATAATGGAATACAGGGTAATAAGGGAATACCTGTAGATAATATAATATCTGAAAATAACGGTATGCATTATTTACATAATAACCATATGCCCAGAATTAATGTAATGCAAATGAATAACGGAATGCCTGAAAACACAAGACCTAACAGAATGCTGAAAAATTATCAGTCACAAGGCAATTATAGATTTCCCGTGAATTACAATTTACCTAAGAATAATGGAGCGCAGAGAAATATTCAATCAGAAGTAAATAATTTTGGATTAGTAGCAAATAATAAAATGACTAAAAACAACAAATTTCCATTAATTTCTGAATCAATAGCTAATTACAAGGCTTTAGTTACTGATAGAGCAGCTAAAGTAGCTGCAAATGCTGATCAAATAAGTTGACCTGTACTGCGGCCTTACGACCCATCTCAACTCGTCACATCGTTTGAACGAATTAATAAAATTGATTCTAATATGTTTATTAGATCGGAAATATATGAATTTTTGTTTGTGTTACAAAAATAATGATGCTATATTCCCTAGGAATATGACAATAATAAGCTGACGCTGTGGCTGGGCAATCGAATGCCATTTGATTTCCATACGGAACAACTTCATATTTATATGCCATAAACTTTTCTTGTAGATATGAGTGCGATTTGAATGTGAAGTTGTATGTATCTTTGTAAACGCACTTACGAAACAGGAGAAAATACCAGCGTTCCACGTCTCTTTTTAAAAATGAAATTCCACTCAGACAAATTTTATCTAAATTTGAAGACCAATTCGAAAGAATATTGTATGATATTAGTCGTATAACTTCATCATCATCATTACCAGTCGCAAGATGTCAATTTCTAAAATTCAATGACTTGTTGTTTTAATTTGTCATCTTAATTACTCTAGGATTATTTCTCAATGTTTGTTTTTTTATATTAGGCGAAGGCTAACTGACTTATGTTTGGTTTTGTTAAGGTACTACGTAAGGGCTATGTGACACACCATTTTTTACTGGAACTTACTTATAGATGGTGAAACACACTCTTAACTTATATTGATTTTATCTTATTTCATGTCACCTTCGTAATAGGCAAGATTAATATATTATGTAGTGTTTACCATAATATTGTAGGTCAGAAATGTAACAAATAAATGATGATTTATTTTTCTATTTTTTGTCTAAGCAATCAGGCGCACTTTGTATTATTATTACCTAAGCAGGAAATTGTGAGTTGATATATTAAAATTTTTTAAACAATATTATGTCTTACTTATATTTCCTACCAGGAAACAGGACAATTAGGATTATTTTTATCTCTTTTTATGAGACGAGAAGTCATCCAATGACTAGTTTCGACTTGGAGGTGAACTTGATGGTGACGCACGTGGGACGCAATGGAGGTTTAAGATCTTTCTGACTAAAGAAACCCGTTCCATTCACTGTTATAAGTTGGAGTAAAATCTATCTCTGGCTGAAATTTTATTCCGCCTCTGTGTTTTTATCTGTTATTAAACAAATTCCAAAAGTTGGAAGTGGGTAAGCAGAAGGAAATAGAAATATTTTTAGGGATCAAAAATGTATCACAGATTGTCGTAGTTGACAATCTGAATAGGGGTAGAAATTAGATACTGCTGTAATAAGTCAATTTATATTTGACAAAACAAAAACAGATGTAATAGCATGATATGCAATTAAACCTGTCATCATCACAATTGAAGAGCTCGAGAAGTTTATGGCAGAAAAGGCTAAGCATTCTATTCCATTCATAGGTTATTCATAGGTTTAATTATGAAGCTATTGTCAATTCAAGAGTCATATCATTGCTTATGGATAGCCTTAGTTTATTTCCACCAACCTTGACCACTAATTGGTAAAAAAATGAACATAAACAAAATTCAAAAAAGGCAAAAATACTTAATGAAGACATAAAAACATCACTTCAAAATTTAAAGTTTTTTCAGTCCAATGAAATTCAATTTGTTTGGTTAGTCATTATATCTCAAGAACTACTTTCCAAATGTTTACGATAATATTGAATTTTGTTTCTTTATTGTTTTGTCAAAGTAAGTTTTGTTTGTCGAGCATTGATATAGTCAGAAAAAGATACATTATTTTTTTTAAGTACCTACATAAGTATACCGTTAAAATTTTGCGCCGTGCACTTAAATACATGCTATTTACTTTTTAGTAAACGTTCGTCCCGTTTTGGCTATTGTAAATGGCACTAATATAACAACACCTAAACCGTATTACGTAAGTATTACCATTTACTCCTTATTTTGGACGATTTATTAATTTTAGTCTATTTTAAAGGTGCTTAGTATTTTCTAGGTTTATTTAGTTAAGGCATCATTGTCAGAAAGGAATTACGATCACTGGCTATGCGGTGGTGCAATAGTGTCCAAAGATTTTGTGATCACGTCAGCAGCGTGCGTTGAAGATGTCGATTATATTTACGTCATTGCTGGATACAGCAAATACGTTGTCGATGAGGAACTAGAGACCGATCAATGTACGAAAAAAATGAAAAAACGAGTTGTATATACATGTGTTCCTGTATGTAAGTGCATATATACGTTTTTATACTATGTAGCCAGTCACTGCTTCATCCATTTAGGTTTATATTACCTAGTGGTCTGGGCCTGCTGCGCACACATGTCCCCCTCGCTAACAAGAGACGCTATTTTGTCCTCTACATTTCAAACATTTTCCTTTTTAAGAGAAGAGGTCTCTTGAAAAAGAAAATGTTTGATTGCTCCTGACAATAGCAAACAACAAAAACAATTCTTCGCTTTCGGATAACTGACCAGTCTATAATAATATTCAACATTTTCAGCTTACAACTTTGATTTCGACAGATTAGAGAAATGGTCCTACATAGATATAGCTTTAGCAAAAGTTGAATCACCTTATGATTTTGAAGACACTACGTATGAAAGATTGTGCTCCTACAAACCAGCTATAATTCCAATCAATTATGATCCTAAATATCAAACAACGGATGTCGATTCAATGGTAATGGGATTTGGCCACAAATCACTTTGGCGGCAGGTAAATATCCATCATAATAATATACCATTGATGTTTATGAATAGACAGCTAACCGCAAAACCCGATTAGCTGCAAGTGCATTGCCAGGCTTTTAGAAGGTACATTTTTGAAGATTAAGGGCATTGGAAATGAGGGAGATAATACTACGGCTTTGCAGGCTCGCACACTTGAAACCACTGTTTATTTATGTCAACAATAAATTTATGAAATTAAAAAATTAAATATTTTTACAGCACGGTGATTTAGAAAACTACAACTCTCCATTTTTGCAATTTTCACCCACGCTTATAATGAACAAAAAAGATTGTATGAAAGAATATCAAGTTTATCCTAATATGACATATATTATTGAGCAATATATGATATGTACTTTAGGCAAAGGTAATATAGGAGATGGAGGAGACCCTATTAACGAAAATTTTACCAAATTGGAAGGATGTCCTCCAGCCGGATCAAGAAGAAAAGGAACAGATGATCTAGTAAGATATATAGCAGAATATATTTTATACAGTAATTATTGAAAAATTCTATATATATTCTAATTAGTTTAAGGTGGGCTCACCACCATATTTGGCAGTAGGTCCTTAGCAAAATCATGTTCTGTGCACTCATAAGTAAGAATTTCTACAGAATAGTTGTTGAAAGCTGCTAAGTATAGAATGGGCGACTCTAAAGCAGCTTAGAACCATACATTCACACACACAAATTTAAACATTTAATTTTGATGATTCTGATGAATCACGAATAATTTAAGACGCAAAATTGGGCTCTCTTGCTAAAGCTAATATCAGCAAGGTACTAGGTACAAGGTACAGACGTTCACCATAGTTAACAATATTTTTGAATTCATCAAGGATTTTTGTTCCAGTGCGAAGACTATAATGACAAAGATTTCAACTTTCGAAGAAAAAATGATAAAATTTATAACTACACCACATATGAGTACATAAAGCATGCTGCTCATTTAAGATATTCTAACTTCACCAGAAGAAATGGAATTTGCCAGGTAAAATGAATAACATTGTCATAAAACAGCACGTAAACGTCAATATTTTTGTTTGATAACTTCTAAGCCACGAATGCCTAGGGGATCCTTGTAAAACGCTTTTTGTCTATTGCTATATGTTACTTAATAACTTGCCAGGTCTGTTCATAATTCTATACTAGTAGGTAGTCAAAAACTCTATCAGAATAATACAAATATTTCATAATATATAATCTTTCAGAACGATCACGGTGGCCCTCTTGTCACTTGGGTGGGGAGTCGGGAAATTATCATCGGTATAGCATCGGTGTTTAAAATAAACGAAGAAAATGCTTGTATTGGACCGTTTTTGTACACCAGTACACAATGTAACTCAGCTTTCCTGGACTGTGTTTTAAACAATCCTTACTGGTTGGATAAGCCTGGAGATGCAAAACCCGTGGAGACGAATAAAACAAAAACACGTGGGTTAGTATTACTTTAAAAAACACGGAAAGTAAATGAGGCTCGTGAAAACGTGGTTAATAATAATAACCACGTTTATTTAGATATTTAAAAACGCAGGTGAATGAAGGCAATTTGTTTTTTCTAGAGGAAGATTGGATTTATGCGACAGTCCACCAAGCGTAAAAGGTTTCGATATTGTAAAAAATCATATCTCATGGAAGGATCATCCAGCAGGGTGAGTGTATACAAGAATTCAGAATAAATAATTGTTTTTTATCAAAAACAAAGTTTATAAAATTTTAATAATAATTTGCCTTTTTCAGACCAGCACAAAATGAACTGCAGCCAGAAACACAGGAATTTGAAAGACGAATAGTGACAGAACAAAATTATGTAAGGAACGAAAACGCGGAATTAAATCAACAATATGACCCAAATCAACAATTTGCAGCAAACAATCATTATTCTGGACAACAACATCAAACAAATGAAGAATTTTCAAGGCAACAAGAAGCAGTAAATGTACAATTTAGTGAAAGACAAAAATATGTATCTAATTCGCAATATGTAGCAAGCCAAAACAGTGCTGCTTATGCGCAAGTTCCAGCAAGGGAAACTAACGTTGCGAACGAACAAAATAATGCTGTAACAAAAGTTGCTGCGAGACAAAGATTCAAAGTTATACAAACAAATGCTAATAGGGAACAATCAATAAGTCAAAAATATTTAAGAATCGGAAACCCTAATGAACAAAATGTACAACTGGATCCTAACCAACAAAATTATCAACATCCAGAAATTATACGAATTGAGCATAACCAACAAAATCCAGTCAATTTACAATTTCATTCATTCTCACCAAATTCAGAATATCAACAACTTCCACAGGATCAAGAAAGTAGAATGTATGCGTTCAGGCAACAAAATAATGAAAACGGACAATTTAATCCTAATCAACAAAATGTGGCAAATGTACCTTTTGGGCCAAATACAGAATACAGTCAAGTTTCATCAAATCAGCAAGTTGTCCCAAATGTACCTCGTCAACAATTTATAGCTAATGAACAGTTTTTTCCTTATCAACAAACTATACCAAATGTACAATTTGCAATAGATCATCAGAGTACGGCAAATAGACAAACTGTTTACAATAACTTACTAAGTACAGGTAATTTACAGTTTGCACCTAATACAGGGAATTTAGCCGATGTTAAAAACGGACCTGGTCAACAAAATATAGTAAACAGACAGCAAATTGCGGTTTTTGGCAACAGAATTGCGTCAAAAAATAAGGAAAATATACAATATTACATCAGAGCTAGATATTATCCTGAGATTGAAGGCTTTCCTAACGATTACAGAATACCACAAGAAAGATACCAGGGAAGCAGAATGGTAGCAAGGATTGGAGACGAATTCGGTGACGCAAACTACGCCTTATCTTACCAAGCCACGATGCCACCACAGAATCTTCCTTATGGATATGGCTAATGATACTTTTGAATACAATTTATTTTGGTTAAATAAATTATTAAGAATTATTTTTTACATTTGTAGTGTTTTTTATAAGCTTGTTTATTTTGATTGATTGAGAAATTTGATTTTTGGCTTAATTATAATACAGTGTATTCGTGAGTTGACGATGTTTATCGATGAAAGAATTGTAATGCAAAACAATGTTACGTCTTCTTCCTCAAGAAAAGCAATCAGAAGTATCGAATGATTATTATCTATTATAGCGATTAAGCTATATTTTGCTCCTTTAATAGTAATAAGGAACATCATCTAAAACCTTTTTTAGTTTACAATGTTTTACAAATGTAAATAAATAAATTGTCTTTCCGGTTGATCCTGGCTCTAGCTTGTTCAATTTGGACATAACTGCTTCTCCTTCAATTTTTATATTCGTACCTAAAAGAAGCCTTCAATACAAGGAAGTATGACTATTTCAAAGTAGTACTGCAATAAAATTCATATTCATTTGTGATTCCATTTTACCGTCACTAAACGTTAATTGAAATTCGTTGTTATTATTTGAAATGAAGTATGATCAAGGCTAGATATCAAATGTTCCTCAATGTTTTATTGTTATTTCTATTTTTTAGTGGTAAGTTAATGACGGTTGCACGTGATTTTGTTAGTGGTAAATATTTTCGGAATGGTGCCTAGTGTTTGGAAATAGTCTTAAATTATAACAGGGTGAGGCTTATAATATTATAACTGGTGAAAACCTTTATAAACAGAGTAATAGACAAAGATTCTATGAATTGGTGGGCAACACTAAAAACCATTTACCAATCCTAGTTGTCTTGTATACAGAATCTCATGGCGAGAGAAGAATAATTGATGGCAATGAAGTTTCTGAAGATAAATCGTATGTGGTAAGAATCAGGCTTTTATTAATTCGTGTAAATTGACAAACATGCTACATTTTTTAATTCTCAAATGGCTAGTAAGTCACTCTTAACAACAACCAGGATAACCATAAATTCAACTTGAACGTTCACCCGGTCCTAGGCTGCGCTTGCCGAAACGTGGCCTGCGCTTTTAAACCTATCTGCTCCATATGCCGTCGGTTTTATAAGTCGATTTGGCTTGGGGATCTCGTTAGTTACGGGGAATACTATTATGATATTTTAAATTATTTCAGGTATATTTAGTAAAAGCGCCATTTTCGAATAAAATCTACGACTCATGGCTTTGTGGCGGAGCACTGGTTTCTAAAGAGTTCATTTTAACATCGGCCGCTTGCGTTGAAGATGTGGACTTTTTATACGCTATCGCAGGTTACAAAAAATATGTAAAAGACAAGTTTATTGAACATGATGACTGCACCAAGACAATGAAGAAAAAAGTGATATACACTTGTGTGCCGGTGGGTAAGTCAAATAAAGAAATATTCATAATTGTTACGGTGAAAATTAATATTATGAGGTGGGACACGCTGTGCACGTTGTGTTGCAACAAATGTTCATCCAATTTCGATTTGTAAAATTTGCCATTTGTTTAAAGCATCATCAAGATTAATACTAATTATGATCATCATCAGCATCTAATTGTCTGCATAGCATATACCTAATGCATATTAATGCCTGAGCAAAGGGTTTTTGGCACACGCTAAATGCTTAAAATGAATTGGCGATTTCAAACTAATAATTAGAAATTACAAGTCCAACTTAAGTCAATATTCATCAATCTGGTAAAAATATTTCAGCTTATGAATTTTCCTACGATGAAATAGAGAAATGGTCATACATAGACATTGCACTAGTCAAAGTGGAATCACCATTCAATTTGTTCGACGCTAGATTTCAAATAATGTGCTCTTATATACCGACTATAGTACGGATCAATTTTGACCCTAAACATCAAGTGCCTGGCACAGAAGCTATGGTGTTTGGTTGGGGGCATACAGAAATGTGGCGAGAGGTAAAAAGTATTTTTTAACTGTTAATTTAGTTATTAAGCTTTTATTTTAAAAATATGTCTATTTCCATTTCTAAAGTAGTTTGTAATAAGTTTTGTACACTTTTATAAAATCCAAAAAATAATATTATAAATTCGAAAGTAAGCCTGTCTGTCTGTCTGTCTTTTCTTTACGCCAAAACTACTGAACCGATTTATTTGAATCAGACATAGTTTGGAACTCTAGAAAGGACATAAGATAGTTTTTATACCAAAAATCTGCAGGAAGTCACAATTCCACACCAACGAAGTCGCGGGCATAAGCTAGTATTTTAATAGCTAACTATTATTTTCAGCATGGCGATAAAGTAAACTATAACCAAGAAAGTCTCCGTTATACGCCAACACTGCTAATGGATAAACAACTCTGTAAAGAGCACTATAAGGACTATCCAGAGTTACTCAAAACTATCGACTTATATATGTTATGTTCATTGGATGCTGGTCACATGAATGATAAAGGGGAAATTGTATCGCAAAATCATACGTTGGTGGATGGCTGCATTTCAAAAAAACAAAAATTAATGGGTCAGGTCGGTGAACTCGTGAGTATTATACGTATTTTTTGCAATATAATTACCACCTACATAACTCTAAACTTTACCTTAGAATCTTAGATCGGGTATTTAGTCTGAACGGCCGAAAACGTAGACGATTTTTGGTTACGACCAGATGGCCCGCGGGTCATTCGTTTAGGGCCGTTCAGACTAAATACCCCTTAGATTTGCTATTACAACGTTTTGGGCCGTTTAGATTAAATACCTCTTAGATCTACTATGTTTTTGAGAATAATGCACATGAACAATTATTATCCTAATATGTAATTATTTCTTGATGCAGTGCCAATCGGAAACAAATAAAGATTCAATTCTTGTAGACTATGATAACTACCCGAAAGACGAGACCCGAAAACGTATGAACACAAATGAAAAAAACTCCAATGAAAGTCTTACAGATGAAAAGACACCGAATTTCAATTTTAATAAAACTTTTACAAAGGAACGCATGGAATATAGGATTGGTAGGAGAAATGGAATTTGTCAAGTAAGTGCTTTGTTAAATAAAGATCATAATGTACTTAATGAAAGTCGCAATTCTTTATTTTTTTAATAAAACTAGTTTTTAATAAATTTTGTTTTCTGAAAAGGGACTTAAACAAGAATTGCACAGATTTCTAACTCAATAAATCCATTCTTTATTTTTGTTAACAAATTTATACATTTATTGATGCTGTCAGAATGTATGTCTTTCTGAATAAATTAATTTTAAAGTTCAATAAAAACTAAAACTTTGCCGGGGTTGTGGGATAAGCGCAATGAGTCACCGCGGCCTTGGCCCAGAGCAGGAGAAAGCACGTATTTAGTCAGACTCCCTCCCGCCCGACCCTGGACGGGAGAAGTCCCTCAGTCTAATTCTTCCCATGTTTTGCTTTCAGAATGACCACGGTGGTCCACTTATAGGTTGGGTAGGTAAACGCGAAGTCGTGATTGGAGTTGCCTCTGTATTCAAAATCGACGAAGAAAACAAGTGTGTTGGGCCATATTTGTACACAAGTACAGTGTGTAGCAGTGCTTTCTTGCATTGTACCTTAAATGAAGAGCCCCCAAAGGTTCCGATTCCTAAAAATAATACTTCACAAAACAATACTACTAATAGTAATAGGTATGTTGAATATTTTACTACACGTATATTTGAAATTTCTGAGAGTTACGTTGGTCAATTTGTTGTCAAAGAATTAAACATTTATTATTTGATAACCTTTTTTATAATAGTACGAGTAATATAAATAACCTTTAAAAATAATTGATCAAACGCGCTGTTTTTCAAGTTATTTATTATTAAATATACCATTCAATTGGCTCAGTCCTTAAAGAAATCAAAATTCAACGATAAGGTATTGAAAATAATAAAAATATTTTTGATCTAATAGGAAGGCGTTTTGCAACAGTCCACCAAGCGTGAGAGGATATGATACAATTGAGAGATTCGTTTCATGGAAAGATCATCCTTCTGGGTAAGAAGCAATGAATTAAAATGTCAAAAAAATTCGGAACGCTCCTTCTGTCACTCGACTCGGTACGCACATAATATGAGCTAAAAAAAATTATGTTTATTCTAACAGGCCAGCAGACAATGAAAAAGCGTCGCTGCGTTCTAAGGCAATGAAGAAAGATGACAAGTTTGCAACGCGTGTCGAGTCGTACGAAGACTCAAATGAGAATAATCCTTTACGTGATCGAAACACGCAAAAAGTCAGCTTTCCGAAAAATCTTAGTGGGAAATATAAGGCTCAAGCCAGATTTTTAGCCCAAATAAAAGAAAAGAAAGAATTATCTGAAACAAAAGCGGATTCTTCGGAAGAAAAGGAGATTGTAGATTTTTTAAATCCCTTATCGGAAAAAGTTGTATTGAGTACGGTTTCCCCACAAACACTCAATGATCCTTTGTACTCAAGTCCGTCGTCAAACATCGAGCTATCTAACTTAGATTTACCGCCAGAAGCAAGACTTCCATCGAATTCAGGTCCACAACAAATAAGGCCTGATGCAGAGCCTAAACTACAAATGAGGCTTTATACAGGATTGCCTTCAAACTTACAGTCTCCTCCAGAAATGAGACAGGCGCACATCGGATATTCGTGGAATCGATCACCGTTACAAACCAAACAAAATCCGTGGCAGTCACAAAATCTGGCATCTCCACAAAGACTAGGATTTCCTCCAAACCACAGACCCTTACCAAATTTAAGGCCTGCACCATATTTGGGGCCATCATTACACCCGGGGCCCCCAAAAATCCTGGGTCCTCCACAATATCTGGGAGTAAAACAAAACATGAAACAAAATAATCCAGGGCGTCCATCACACGTGCGGCCTTTACAAAACCTAGATTACCCTAAAAATCTAGGATCTCCACTAATTCTTGGGAATTCACAAAACTTAAGCACCCTACAAAAGCCTGCACAGAAACTGGATTCTTTACAAAATCTGAGGTTTCCCCAAAACCTAGGGCCTCCAAAGAACTTTGTGCTTCCACAAAATATGGCAGTTTCACAAAACCTAGGACGTCTACCAAATTTGGGATTACCACATGGTCAAGGGTTTCAACAAAATCTGGGATCTCCACAGACGTTTACACAGCCACATAGCGTAAGGGCTCGTCAGAATAATGAATCTCCACAGAAATTGATGCCCCTACAAAACTTGGGAGTACCGTTGAAATTAAGACCTACTTCAAATTTAGGATCATGGTCAAATTTGCATCCTATGCAGAATTTGCCATCTTCAACATACTCTGAAGTTCTGAGAGGTTCAGCAACGAATATGGGAACTTCATTAAAAAAGGGAAATTCGTTTAATTTCAAATCGTCTCTAAACCATGATTCTCCCCCTCTTTTTAAACCAAATATGAGAAGTCCTAACTTTGAATCTCCGCTAAATAATGGTCCTCCACCATCTAACAAAAATAATTCACCAAACTTGCAAAACAAACCGCCAAGCAGTCAACAAATTTCAAATGTGTTCAGCAATTTCAAAATGCGACCACAAATTCCTATCCGTAGCCAATAAAATTAATAGCAATAAGTTCATTATTAAATTATTACTTTTTGTATCCTGCTTTTTTCTTATGATAAACTTTAATGTAATAGCAGAAGTGTTGAAATTATGTCTTAAATATTCAGGTACACGATAGCCTTGTGATAATTTAAATTCCAAATATGAAGATCCTATGTTAACGAGAGTAATTTATAAATTATAAACTATCCAACAAATCTAAATACTTGCTTGGGGATTTTAATAAAACGACTACAAGTCACAAAAATACGTATAAAAAGATAATTCAGCTATGTGTATGTAGCATTTCTTTGTATTTCATAAATGGTAATACTCGTCTATTACTATTATTTTTAATTTCTTGTAGTTTTTCCTTGTTTGTGAATGTTTGATTAATATGATACAATTTATAAAATAACGAAACACATTACGCCAAAACGGGTTCATTAAATCGAATTCGAAATTATATCAATAAAGTAGAGCAAATTCACACAAAAACTAAACTGTTTAGTGTAAGTAGGCAATAATTTAGTTTTGTTTATAGAAAGTTTTGAACTACATGACACCGTTAAATATGAAACGCGAACCTTCTAAAACACGATAAGCTTTAAGCAAACCCTGATTTTGTAAGTAGTAAAATAACTGACCAAAACATTTTAATTTCCTCATAGCGGTAATTCAAGGACAGTACATAAAATGTTTGCAATAAAGTTAGATCTTGTATTATTTTTCGTACTTTTTCTCGGTTTGTAGCATTTTTATTACTTATATTGTTGGTAGCTTTTGGCTTTAAGTCCAATGATAGGACTAACAGTATCGGAATGTTTAACAAACGGTTGGAGTCTAGAATAACAGCAACACAACTGATTTTATAATAAATCAGGACTAAATAAACTTAATGGATTTTTAAAAGAATACTGCTTTTGTGAAAACATCTGTACTTTTTGTATTTCAGAGACTAATTGCCAAAGAAGAATACATGAAGGTAAAAATGTGACAAAAGACAAACCATATGTGGTACGTAGCATATTTTGCTTTGAATCAAATAGGAGCACGAAGTCTAGAAACCTGACGATACATATCTTTGTCCTTATTTTTGAAACAAATCGATAAAACATCGTTGATTATGAAGTAGCAGGTCTTAAGTTTGACGTTTCTCTAGTCGTCTAGAAACGGATAATAGAACATTGGGAAGATCCCGTTAGGGGGTCATGTCAATCATCTCTTTAGAGGCTAGCCAATACAATCGAAGTCGATCAATGGACATAATATTACATAGGTACATCTGTGTGGTTTCAGGTATATTTAGTAAAAGCACCGATAGCGTCTGTTCGCTATGATTATTGGCTTTGCGGAGGAGCATTAGTCACCAGTGAATATGTAGTCACTTCTGCCGCGTGCATCAAAGACGTGGATTATCTTTACGTGATAGCTGGTTACAATAAATACGTCACTGATGTTGACTTAGAGAAGGATAAATGTACTAGTAAAATGAAAAAGAAAGTGATTTATACCTGTTATCCAGAAGGTAAACAATTTTAATAGCACTCATAAGTAGATTTAAAACTGCGCTCTGGGCACTTTTTATCAGCAAAATTTGGTTACCTAATATTTGAGGCACCATCTCCAAACTGCAAAGTATCTAACACAATAAAAGACGTGGTAACATTTGCTGATGGAGTATGCTAAGATATAAAATTAAAAAGATTCAATAATTATGGAGTTAGATTTAAATTCGAACTTGGGATTACTTTCACAATTTTAACAAATCATACAAATGAAATGTTGCAAAAATATTTATATGGTGGTAGTACAACAGCTTAATCAATGAATAAGGAGCAAAGAAATATTATATTTATTTATAAAATTGATAAGTTACAACAATTTTTACAAAATTTATAAACAATACGGTATTTTTGAACATTGGTCATCTTGTATCGTAGGTTAATGCTGAAAAATGTTGTATCAATGATTCCTCTTTAGAAAACAATAACTTTTATATTTTCGCCATGAAGTAGCAGTTGAAACGATTCGTAAACCTTTTATCTGCTTCCAGGGCAAGACAGGACATTTATTAATGGTTTTTCATTCGTATGCAGAAAATAGTCCTGAAATTAATCGGTAGTTTCACAAATTACTCATTCGGACAACGAGACAATGTGTTTCTTCTTAAACTAAGTTACTCTGTACTTTTAGGTTATGAAATAAGGTACGAGAGACTGGATAAATGGGCACTAATAGATATAGGTGTCGTTAAAGTTGAATCTCCTTACGATTTTACTGACCAATCGTACAAGACAATATGTTCGTACACACCGTCAGTGATACCAGTTAGTTATGAAGCAAGGTACCAAGAGCCTGGAACTGATGCTATTGTGTTTGGATGGGGACATTTATTAAAATGGAGAAAGGTAAGGTTATACATTTCTTTTCAATATTGAGACTATGATTGTCGTGTGATAGACGATGAAATATTATAAAAATAGAGGCTCAAACATAGTCCTAATTCTAATTTGTACTTCAAAATATATCACGGATAGGTGTGTGGGCGTTCGTCATCATCACAAAAACTTTGTACTGAGAATTTTTACAGTGACAAAAAATTAATTGAGATCTTCATCTTAATTTTCTCCCAAAAATGCTGAAATATTAACAGAAACAAACATCACAATAATATAAATTTTCCTAATTTACACTTTTAGAAAAGTGATAACAAGAATCACAATCAAGCACATTTAAATTATGCTTCCGTAATGATAATTGATAAAGAAGAATGCAAGAAACATTATAGTGATTATGAAAATATGACTGAAGTTATAGACAAGTACATGATTTGTACATATGGACAGGGTAACATTGATGACCGTGGAGATCCTATAGAAGCGGGAAAAGCCCAATACAATGGATGTAATCCGAAAGACAAGAATTATGCGGTACGTTAATTAATATAGCTGTATGTTCAATCCGGCGACTGTAGAGTTGATTCTGTGGCTAAACAAATGGCTGCCGTGCAAAATACCACAGGTTTGATTCAGGCACGGAACTCTGTGTCATCCAAAAATTGTTGCTCCAGGTCTGGGTGTGATGTGTATGTGAAATTGTATGTTTGTTAACGTACTATCGTCATAGGGAAAGTCATACAAAGTGACGCAAATTTTTTCGAAAAATAAGTAATACCTAGTAAAAAATGGTCACGCTAAGCTTGCTATCCAATACCTGAAATATTCAGCTTTACTTTGGGAAAAAATATGTTAAAAAACATAAAAGGTAGACAGTTCAACAATGGCAAATAACATACGCATTTCACGCTTTGATACACGTGTAGTAGTAGACCGGTAATATAAAAAAAAAAACTTTTTTTTAGAGATGTTTAGAGGATCAGAGCAGACGGTTTATTGGAGCAGCAAGTCTTCCACTTAATGAGTCGGGGACAGAAATACAAAATGAAACTTTTTCTTTGCCAAAGAATGCATTGAATGAAACGTCATTTTTTAATGAGAGTGTTATACGCAAAAGACCTTTGGTATATAATGTTAATGGCCGAAGACACGGAATTTGTCAGGTTTGTTTTGAACAGCATAATTAATTATCGTCTTTATCTATTGTTGACTTAAAGACCACTTTTTAATACGTATATTGTAACAATGTTAGATTACAGTTTTTTTTGCAAAAAGCATGCTACACGGTGCTCGTATGATAAGTATAGAAAAGGCATAAAAAATTAAAGCTACAAAAAAGGAATAAAATTAAGTGGTATTAAATTACAAGAAACAAAAACAGCTATTAATATTAATGATTATTTCATTAGCAAAAAATTACTTAGACAACTAAAATAACCAAAACCAGATGGCGTATGCGGTTTCCATGAAAAAAATCTGAATATGCCTTTTTAATTTTGTTTCTATCTTTCCTTTTAGAATGATCATGGCGGACCACTAGTTACTTGGGTGGGAACCCACGAAATCCTCATCGGTATAGCCTCTGTGTTTAAAGTGTCAGAGGACTCTGAATGTATTGGTCCTTTTTTATACACAAGCACCCAATGTAACGGAGCATTTCTCGATTGTATTCTAACAACAGATAAATTAATAGTTTCTAAAAAGAAACAGAAAGATAAAACAAGGTAAGGTAAAATTTTTAGAAATATAAGAATTGTTTCTTTGTTTCTAAGCATTCATTTATAATTTTATATTAGGCGAGCTGTATGCAGAAAGAGACCAGGAGATGAAGGTCACCCCACAGTTGAACGACATATTTCTTGGCTACACCATCCAGCTGGGTGAGTAATATATGTTTTTCCTTTAAAAGGATTATTAAAAGGAGTGAAAATATCAATACCAGAATAAAATTTAGAATATCAACTCAATAATCATAAAATAAATTTATTATTCCCAGGGCCGCAGAAAATGAAAAAATTGGAAGAAATGGCCATATAGTAACATCTGATCCAGAAGAAGATGAAAAGGCACCCAATATAGATTTCAATCCTGAAGTGCATATCAGAAACATATCGCAAGACTTCTTAAATGTAAATAAGCCGATACCAAATAATCAGTTTGAGGGAAATGAAAGGTTTTCAGTAGTCAACAGTTATGGAAACAGAAACCAATATGTACCCAATTTATACGAAGTTAATGAACAATATTCTCATAGTCAACAATTCGGAACTGATCATTATATACCAGCGAATGTTCCAAATAATAATATACCTGCAAGTTGGGTTACACAGAATGGTAACAAGTTGGCACAAAGGCCTGTGCCAATTGGTAGATACGATACAAATGTTATGTCTCCGCCAATAATAAGGACTCCAGTACAAATAAGTGTACCAGTTGTCAACTATGATCGTCAGTCAGAAATATACAAACCAGCGCCTTTTAAGATTACAGACAAAGTATTGAATGGAGGAAATGAAGAATTTTTCAGAATGCGTCCCCAAATTCCTCTTCATGTTTGAGGATTATTTTTAAGACAGCGTAAACTGTATCTTTTATCTTTTTTTTTAAATTAAATGTATGTTTTTATACTTAATTAGGTGTAATATGTATTTGAACCTCCTTTAGTCCCTAACGTACTGTTCGAGTAACGATAATTCTGTTGGTTATGAAATTACAAAAAATCTACGTAAAATCAAATTCATTTCACTTAAACATTAAAATTTCTTATCGATAACAATAGACGACAGTAACGCCACCAGGGCCGGTGAATGATTTTCTGCTCAAACTTGAATAATTTAATCAGAAAAATGCAGAAAGTAGTGAAACTGATGCAGTATTATAGCAAACTATTGATTTCATTTTGTTTCAAAAATTAGGTTGTAGTTTTTGCAAATATGGTCACTTTTCAGTTCAACATTGCTATTATTTTGAATATTATCTTCGGTAAGTCGAAGGAAAGATAGTTTCATATTCATGTGTGGAGTAAACCAGGAATAATTATTGTTTTTATCGATACTATTTATTGTAGTGTCCAATTGCACAAGAAGAATCAAAGATGGTGCAACAGTGACAACAACTAAAAGATACGTGGTAAGTGAAACTTAAACAGAAAAAAAAACAATAAATAGGAGAAGAGATAGCCTTCGAGGAATATTACTATGATGTTAAGGGTGAATGTTTTCAAAGTAATGTACGAAGACAAGGACGTATTTTCATTTCCATAGCGACATAGTTTGTCTGGCATCATAACGAGGTTCATTGAAATGTGGATAGTAGTGTTTATAATAAGAGCTAAAGATTGAGTGCAGTAGAGTGCTATTTTAGAGCCTAGTAGTTCTCTTGATAAAATGTTTCTGGATGGATGATGACAAAAGTGCTATAGACATTTGTATATTTGTAGGCATACCTTGTAAAGGCTCCTTTGTCAGTAAAATTGTATGATAGTTGGGTTTGTGGAGGAGCTATTGTATCGTCGCTGTATATTATAACTTCAGCTGCGTGTGTAGACGATGTGGAATATCTTTATGCGATTGCGGGATACAAAAAATATGTCCCAGACAAGGATATTGAAACTGATCAGTGTACGAAAACAATGAAGAAAAAAGTGATTTATACTTGTGTTCCTGTGAGTAAGTAATTATGTAAATTTTTATAGAATATAATTCTAAATTGTAATATGGTAGTTAGAGATATGTCTACGAGATAATACTTAATGACTAACTCCGTGCTATTGTTGAGATATCTCGAAAATTTGGTAAGGACCGCTAAAAGCGGAAACGTTTGCATTTGCATTTGTTTGGATATGCGCAGCGCATGTACAATTCTTTTCTTTTTTCTTTAATATAATGACCTTGAGCATTTTACATTTAAATATAGGCACCACTTTTTTTGTTAGGGGAAAATCATCAAATGGCTTCTCTCGCCCAGTGTGAGGCGAGAGGGAGTGACAGACTCTTAATGACTATAGGGGTTATAACCCCTCCATTCCTTCTCCTGCTCTAGGCCGCAGTACCTTATTGCGATGACGGTTTTACAGTTTCTCTCGCTTTGCACCATGGCCTCGACTAAGACCGGACAAAACATGTAAATTTTTAAGACCGTAACCGTTAACGAACAGAAAATAAACATGGAATTAATTATTATCTTATTTTCAGAATACGAACTAAACTACCATCAAGTGGAAAAGTGGTCTTATATAGACATTGCTATAGTAAAAGTAGAATCGCCGTTTGATTTTAACGATAGCAAGTATGAAACGCTCTGTTCGTACAAACCTAAAGTTATAGGAGTTAATTATGAGCAACGTTTTCAAGAGTCGGGTATCGATGCCCTGGTGTATGGATGGGGGCATCTAGAAGTTTGGCGACAAGTAAGATTGACATATTGTCAATTGTTTTTAGGCGTAGAAAATTATTAAATGACTTCTATCACCCTAGTGCATGTGTGGGAGTGTCGGAGTCTTACTGACTAAAAAGCACCACGTTTCTTCTTCTGCTCCGAGTCGGCCCTATAAAGATTACCATCTATGGTATTCTGATGGCTTTTTCGGATTGGATCTGGTTTTCGTCGGATGGCGAGCTACCGCTGTTATTCTGGCTGTTCACAGACAAGCGCTTACAGCAGTTCAAAATTGACTACGCAGTTGGCGTAGTTCCTGGGTAATCGCTGTCACACAACATGTAGCGGGTTTGATTCCTGAACGGAATAACTCGTTTGATATCAAGTCCACAATAAGTAAGAGTAATTCTGAGTCCACAATAGTTATCAGCCTAGGTGTTATGTGTTTGTAAAATTGTACGTATGAAAAGGCTTCTATGTCGCAGGAGATAATGCTAGTATATTTAAAGCTACTTACAAACTTCTGTAATACATTGTGTCCTCTTATTTTGTGACCTGGTGTGTCCAATAATGCGTCTAGCGAATGCACAACAGCAGAATTTCCTTCTGGCCAAAGTGAACCTTAGTTAAGATTTTTAGAACGCGATTAAAAAAATTGCCGTTTCCGTTATTTTTAGTCGCTAGATGTGCACTGTAGCAAAAGGTCACTTTGCTCAATCAATGTACTATACCAGTCAAAAATTTAACGGATGTTAAACCTGATCCGTTATTGGATGAAAAGATCAGATCAGATGATTTGCTATCATTATAATAAACTGTTTTCTTCTGTATACGTGCATCTAATTATTTCACATCCATTTTCGGTTCATCATCACATTGCTTACGCGCAAGTACCAACCATGTTATTACCATCTACAACGATACAAAACAGAATCACGGTACTTAATGCTAACTAACTATTCCTGTGTGATTTCAGCAAGGAGATACCAATAATTACAATCAAGGGTCATTGCGATATGCAGCTGTTAAAATTATAGATAAGGCTTTATGCAAAAATGAGTACAAATCATTTCCCAATATGAGTAACGTAATCGATGAATTTATGATATGTACAGAAGGGAAGGGAGAATTGGATGAAAATGGTAATTTAGTACTAGTTAGTGAAGTTGACGGTAAACCAAAACTTGAAGGATGTAAAGACTCAGTAGAGAAGTTATACGTAAGTATAGATTCTTTTTTTTATGGGATAATTCTGCAAACGAGCTAACGGATTAATCTGATGGTAAGCGATCGGCGCCACCAATATACACTCATAATTCCAAAGAAGTTGCTACAAGTGCATTGCCGACCTTATGTAGGTAATTAGGGATTTACGGCTATAAGATTTGGGGATTGAAGATGGGGGAAGGGAAGAATAGGGTCTCCTGTTTCGATTCTTGTTCTTTGGTCTTTGTTTAATCCTCCAATTCTTGTTAAAGATACGTGTAGTGATTGTTAAGTAACTAATATACCTTGTTAATCTGTTCTTGATAAGTGCGAAGAAGACAATGTTCAGTTAATAGTAGATAAAACACGTAGAGAAGTTTTAAGGTCAACAAACAAAACGTCTGATCACCCCAAAAATAATGCCAAAAATGGAACTCAACCAAGAAGAAGAATCATTACCCGAAAATCTGGGATTTGTCAGGTTAGTGATATTTGGAAAGAAATAAGCAGTGATGTATAATATCTTTAATATTTAGTACAATAACAACCTCACATTCCTACTTAGTTTTCAGTCAAATTCTGTAACGTCTAGTGGTCGGCTATTCTGGTTACTATACCTAAATCCCGTTACCATACCAATACCATACCATACAATTAGAATCCAGAATTTAGATCTTAGAAATTCATTGATCATAACACTCACCTTTGAGAAGCCTTCCTTAATAAAGGCCACCCCTCGATATGGTCAAATTTTAATTATCGAATGAAAAATTTGTTCTCCTTTGGAGAGGAGGGCCTTATGCCTGCAGTGAAATGGTTTCACGATGACAATAGTGACGACATCGAAATAGTCTAATTCTGTTGGTAAACTTTTAATTTTGATTTTCTTTTAGAATGATCACGGTGGACCTCTAGTTACTTGGGTGGGTGCCAACGAAGTGCTAATCGGTGTTGCATCCGTTTTTAAAGTGACGAGTACCTCCAAATGTACCGGACCCTATCTCTATACAAGCACACGGTGCAATGGAATGTTTCTGCATTGCATATTATCGTCTAAAAGAAGGTGATTTTTGGCATTGATTGACAAAATTGCTGGTATTCTATTACAGGCTAAAGATGATTTCAAAAATTTACTGTATTACTCGTATTATGTATTTAAATGTTTATATGTAAACATTGATTTGGCAATTTTAACGTGTGTTCGGTTTTCGCACAGAATAGTCTTTGTGTCATCCACAAAATTATTGTTGGGCCCTGTGTGTCATATGAAATAGTATGTGTGTGAACGCAGTCACGACTCAGGAGAGAAGAACCGTTGGGAGAAACGCTCTTTTTTTAAAGATGCAAGAACTTTATATAACTGCTTTATTACATAAAGAGTAGTACAATATCCATTACTTTAGTGAGAAAAATGACGCTTTCCTCATAGTCATGTATGCTTCTTAACCTGCTTTAAATTCCAATTTCACTGGCTTTATTTATCTTGATATAGATCACTACTAATTCATTAATCTTAATTTTACAGAAGAAGATCCATATGTGATAGTCCACCGATCCAAAGAGGTTATGAAACTGTTGAGAAATTCATTTCATGGAAAAGTCATCCTGCTGGGTTAGTTATTTCTCAATGGCCGGGGGTTAAGGTTTCGAAACCTGACAAGTACGAATGTAACGTTTTTCGAGTTATACGTACTTTCTATGATTATTTAGACACCACTGATCCTGACCTTATCTGTATATACCTATATATGGGCTTATGTTCACAGGCCGGCACAGAATGAAATTGATATCGACAATCAGGAAAAACCTGAGAATCTGAAGATGAAAAGGGAGTTTTCGAAATTAGTTAAGTTTTCCGACAATCAAATGATTGCCCTTAGACCACAGAAACCTATTAGTAATACATAACAATAAAAAAGTTTTTTATGTTTTTTTTTTAATTTATTATTCTTAATAGGTATGTCTATATTAGGACGGATTGTTATAGATATAAATATTCACATTAAAAAAATATTTTCATTTCATTTTATTTTTACACATCAGAGTGAACAGTTAAAAATATATGTGCCACAATATTTCATCCAGATCTGTTCACTAGTTTTGAGTAACAATGCAACAAGACATACATGTTAAATCGAATAAAATTGGAAGTAAAATAGGATCGTTGGAAGTAAAAACGAAGTAGTTATGTAATAAAAGTGTAATAACATAATTTCGCATTGTTTATAGCTTTTGAGTAGATTTACAAAAATCTGTTACGTCAATATATAACAAAATCAATAAAAAAATAAATAATATAAAGATACAGATATCAATTTTGGTATACCCGGAACTCAGAAATTCACGAATACCTAGAAATCCCAACTATCATTGAAAAAACAAAACGATACCAAAACAAATACAAGAAAATATGGAACTCTCATCCGAAAACTCTTTCACAATCATTATTGGTGTAGAACCAACACAAGAGACTCAAAATGTCCGAAGTGCATTTACTAACATGCATTTTACACATATATATATCACACCAAGACCCGGATCAACAATTTGTAGATCACACAAAGAGTTGTCCCGTGCGAATCGACCAGGCGGCATTGCGTGGCAGCCATTTAGTAGCCTAGCCACCGCGCCAACCGTGCCGTCAAGGTCAGGTCTTTAGGTTTTCATTAGGTAGGTAGTTTTGTGTTGTAAACAGATCATTTTTATGAGATCGGACAGTTAACGAACAGACGAATTACCTGATGGTAAGTGGGTGGGGCCGATTGCACATTGACGCCCGTAAGAAAAAAAAATTAGAAACTCTATAGGAATGGTTGCCATTATGATTTTATTGAAACGTATGACAAATATAATTAAATTATTAAAAACTATTTAGTACATTTTTTAGATTTTGCCGAATACTTTAGATTTTTTAATGTTTATACAACCAGCTTTTTTGGGGGAAATATTATCAATGATGTCTCCTAGGCTCGGTGGGTTAAGAGTGATTATCGGATTCTTACTGACTAAAAATCACCGCGTTTCTTATCCTGCTCCAGGACAAGGCCGCGTTACATTATTGGGCTTGTGTCGCAACCGCTACAATTTTCATACCCTTTCATCATTTCTAATGAGTTAAGGGTTCAAGAAGCATGGTCTGCTGTATGTAGGTATATCGTCGATTTCAAACCCAACGAAAGCTGTAACGACGTTACTAGAAAACAATAAAAGACTTGTTTTGCTTATATCCAATTTGATTAAGCCTACTAAAATAAAAAGGCGGAAAATTTATTTTTTATTAATTTTCGATAAAAACTAGCCTCGTATTCAAGATGTTTGCATTCAAATTGATATTCATAATCATTTTTATTTTCTTTTACGGTAAGCAGTAGTCATTTTAAATCCAAGACAACAAATTTGTGTACTCGTTGGGACGTTCAAATAAAAAAAAACCAAACTCTTCAGCTTTAAGAATACATATATATTAAATATTTTTGTTCATCGCACATTATTTTTACAGGTTGTGAATGTCAAAGAAGAGTACAGAATGGAGCTGTCGTTACAAACAATAAAACTTACGCGGTAATTAATTCTATTTACACCTAAATACATTTTAAATATATTTATTTGTATAACATTAACATGGGTCCTTAAATCTAAACTCGCCAAACTAGTTGGTTTGATGGCGATATATTCCATATTACTACTTTATCTGCACAAACCGTCAAGCAAATAACAAAAGCCCCTAAAACAGTAAAGTAGATATTTATTCCAATCTGCCACCACTTCATGCCGTAACACCTGTCTGAATTAAAAATCACAAATATACAACCATAACTAGTAATCTCAACCCTATGTATATTGAACTTTGTGATACAATTTTGGATGCCATCTATGTTCATTCAAATAAACTATTTATCTCAACGCTTCAAAATTGGCGGAGAAGACTCCACAGCGCTTATTTTCTTACTAAAAGTGGTTAACTAGCGGATAGGTAGATGGCGTTTTCTTAAATAACAATTTCATATCCCTGCTTTCATTGGCGCTGGAAAAACGTACATATTACTTTAAAGATTCTTTTAAGGATCATTTTAACAAGGAAGCAAAGTAAATAAATCGAATTGACACAGTGGCCACAAACGCGAATTGTAATGATCAATTCAAGTTTTGAATGACTCCCAATTTCAGTTATAAAAACTTTACAATTACCCAAACTCTAAGAAATAGCATAGGACCTAAAATAGTGCCTTGCGTAACCCCTCTTTTACCCAAATTCAAATTCAAATTCATTTATTCATAAGAATACAAGCTTACAGTAACACCAAAACGCTTATATCTATACTAAGCTTACAGAAAAATAGCTTTTTTTTTTTTTTTTTTTTGTGAGGGGAAAATCATCAAATGACTTCTCCCGCCCAGGGCCGGGCAGGAGGGAGTGTCAGACTCTTACTGACTAAAAACCCCCCTGTTCCTTCTCCTGCTCTGTGCCGAGGTCGCGGTACCTTATTGCGCTTACCCCGCAACCCCGGCTGAACATCAGCCCTTTAGGGCCCCGTCTGTGGTGGTCTATTGGCTCTTTGAGGCGCGCGCGGAACGCTACGCGCCGTACGCTCGGGCCTGGTTCTGGTCGGGCGGCGAGCTGCCCTTACTCGCCGACCGCAGGCCCGTACTTACGGTGGCCGGAGATCGTCCCTCGATCCCCGACGCCCGTAGTGTCGCCAGTTGCGGCTGCTGGGGCGTGAGGAGGAGGATTGCTCCCTCACGCGGGCCGCCTCTCTCTTTGCGAGCATGACTGCTTCACAAAAGGAGGAGACGGCGTCCCAGTTCCTCTCACTCCGCACCATGGCCTCGACTAAGGCCGGGCGCGAGAGGTCGCCGTCGCCGATCACTTCCCTGAGGATACGGCGGTGCTCAGCCCAGGCAGGGCATACCGCTACCGTATGCTCCACCGTATCCTCACAGAAAAATAGCTAAGATTACAATGCAATAATAAAATATATATGTATACAATTAACAAAGACAAAAAATCATAAATTATTTCATAAAACTATTCAGAAAAGGGTAGAACATTTTCTTTATGACATAAGGAGCATCAAAAAATATGTCTGCATCCGGAGTATTCTGTAGAAAGCTATTTATTAATGATACTAAGAAAACTTATAACGCAATCGGCAAAAAGTTGTTATGTTTTATTAAATTTAGTTTAATAATCATCTACATATTTTCAGGTGTATTTTCTCAAAGCGGCTGTGTCGCCACGGTATTACGAAGGATGGGTATGTGGTGGAGCACTTGTATCCCCCGAGTTCATAGTGACGTCAGCAGCTTGCGTCACTGATGTCACCCATCTCTATGCTATAGCGGGTTACGATAAATACGTGAGAGACACAGAAATCGACAACGATCCTTGTACAAAAGCAAAGAAAAAGAAAGTTGTGCTCATCTGTACACCTAAAGGTAAGCTAAGACAGCAATTGTACATTATATACCATCTTTTGCTCGCGACTTCGTTCGCGTGGAATAGTGACTTCCACCAGATTTTTTGTTTTACCCACATCGTTCCCGATCTAGCGGGATTTTCGGGATAAAACTATTATATGTCCTTTCTCGAATTCCAAACTATGTCTGTACCAAATTTCACACAAATCGGTTCAGTAGTTTACGCGTGAAAAAAAGACAAACTGACAGAGTTACTTTCACATTTATGATATTAGTTTGGATGATTGGTTCAGAAAGGACACAGTAACCATGTAAAAAAGATTTATATATTTCACAAACAATTACTGAATAAACTTCTTGTCTTTAAAATATTTTTAAATTTAAAAACACAAAATTTATTGAAAATAACTACTCGACTTACTCACGTGAATTAACTGAGAAAACCTCTAATAGTTTCAAGTTACGATGGGATTTTTATCCAGTCTGCATGACGTTGCTTACGAATGAGAGACTCGTTGTGACTTGTAACTGGTTGATATTTTAGATGTTGATTCACGTGAGTAAGTCGTCGTTATTTTAAATAAAATTAGTATTTCTCACGATAGAAGTCAATTATTTTGTAAAAAGGCAATAAATAAGACATTAATCATAAAATTGAATTTGGCTTTTTTCACATTGACGTATTTGACTGATTATGTTTGGCGCGGTGGCTGTATAACTGGGTGGCGCGCAGTGTGTCGCGAGTTTGATTCCTGCACGAAACAACTCTTTGTGTGATAAACAAATTGTTGTTCCGGGCCTGGGTGTCTCGTGTATGTAAAATTATATGTTTGTAAACGCACTTACGATAAAGGAGAAAATCCTAGATATTTAAAAAGAAAGAAAAAGTATTTGATGGGATACGCATACTTAGTAGTGTGGTGTTAAAAACAACTGTTCCGAACAGTACCTATCAACGTTATCCTAATAACGGTTTTTATTATTTTAGCTTACGAATTGAAATATGAAGAAATAGAAAAATGGTCATACATTGATATAGCCGTAGTGAAAGTGGAATCTCCCTACGACTTTCAAGATAAATCGTTTGCAGAACTTTGTTCTTACATACCTGTACCTATAATAATTAATTATGAAACAAAATATCAGGAGCCTGGTGTTGATGGCATCGTCCTAGGTTGGGGTCATCAATCCAAATGGCGACAGGTAATATTAATTAATCCAGTGCATTACATTACAAATTCTATACGTCACGTACACGACAATCTAAATCATATTTTCCTGCCTATTTTATATATATAATTCTACTGTATGTGTGTATGTAATTGAACTCTTCCTAAACGGCTTGACCGATATAAAGGATTTTTTCTGCAAGAGTTAGGATGGCGCCTTGAATGGTTTAGGTTACATATTAAAATTCTGTGATGTCTTTCTAGCAATTAGACCCAAGAGACTATAACCAAGAAAAGTTGCACTATGCACCGATACTAATACAAAATAAAGAAGATTGTAAAAAAGAGTACGCTGTATATAAAGGAATGGATCAAGTTATAGACAAATATATGATTTGCACTTTTGAAAAAGGAAATATAAATGATGCAGGAGAGACTATAGTCAAAGCTCCACCCAGAGCGCAGGGATGCAAATTTAGCCCAAATGGACTACGCACGTTTGATGGCGTTTCTGTAAGTTTCTTTTCCTAGAGTTATAAGAACAATTTGCTATAAGCAACAAAAAGCAACAAATAGTTTTGTGTTTATTTTCAAGTTTGAAGTGAATTACATTTACGCCCTCATAGTCTCATAAACAAGTCTCGATTTCCTTAAATCCTTCGGTGCGCGTGACTATTAATTGCGCACTCTTAAATAATTTCTTGCTCGAAAGCTATTTTACAAGAAATTATTTCTTGTATCATCGTTTTGTCCTGTTTTCAGTGTGAAAATGTCAACTCTCTAGGTGATGACATGGATTTAGTAGAAAATACAAGAAAAAACAATGGACTACTAAATAATCGAACAGCTAATGCAAAAGTAGATAAAAAATCAAATAATGTCAACAATAAAATTATGAATGGTTCAACAGTAGAAAAAGGATCACTAAACATTAACAATTTGGGAAGAATGAATACTAGAAGGAATGGGATTTGTCAGGTGAGATATTTTTTTATAATCTTTCTTTCATTACCTAAATTGCTAGTATATATATATTTTGTACACGTGTGTGTGTAACACGTTTAATTTCCCTGACTACACTTACGCAATTTGACTCGCTTCTCGACTCCAATTGATAGTAGTGTACATTTTATCGTAAAATATTAATTTTAAAAATAAATTAATATTAACGATAAACAACCCAACACAAATCTCAACAGTTCCGGTGAAAAATTTGTTCAATCAACTAACCATGCAAAAACAACCCAACAGAATTATAATATAAGTAAAGAAAATCCTGAAATAGAATTTCGTATAATTTTAGAAGGCTAAAGTAGTTCCATACATTCCAACCACATCTTCTGCGAATGTCGAAAGTGACGTTCAAGCAACGGATGACAAAAAATACAGACGAGATAGCATCGTTCTTTGATAAAACTGACCTTTTCTCCGATTACCGAGATTCATTCCCTTTTGTAGAAAATGATCATAGTCCAGCAGTAGATTCTCTCAGGTCGTTGACTTGGTACTTTCTAGAATGATCATGGTGGACCCATGGTGACATGGGTGGGAGCTCACGAAGTGCTTATTGGAGTCGCATCAGTGTTCAAAATCACCGAAGCACTTGAATGCATTGGACCGTATTTGTTCACTAGTACTCAATGCAATGGAGCATTCCTCGATTGCATACTACGGTCTGATCCGGAGAAAACGGATACTATGAGGTAAGAGCCAGATTAATCGTTCGATTTTCTACTTACGTGTAATAGAAATAAGTTTAAAAATATTGTGCGACAAGTATTAGTAGACATGCATGTTGTTCGGTCCCGGATAGGGTGACGATCCTGTTATCAAAATCAGTAGCAGTTTCTATAGTGCAGATTTTTTAAATGCTATGCTTAATCTGATTATTGTTAATCCAACTTGTACCCAGCTATTACAATTTTGCTAAACCGAAAATCTAACCCAACGCTAGTAAAACACATAGACGTAGATTTACTAAGATTGGTGTAATGCAGTTTTCTCTTAGCCTGCGATAAAATACTTATCTCTTATTTTCCTTTGAACAGACGTGCAATTTGCGATAATGCTACTAGCGCTGGATTCGAGCTAATTGAAAAAAAGATTTCATGGAAACATCACCCTGACGGGTAAGTTCTATAAAACGTTCCTTCTTAATATTATTAATGTGAAAGTTTATGGAATACACTTTTAGATGTAGGTATGTTCGTTATTGCAATCACGTGCGACGTGCTTATTCTTCAATTGAATGCTGAAAAAGAAAAGGTAGTCGTTGTAAAAATATCGAAACAAGAGTATTAGTCAACTATTGAAGAAAGCAGCGTAATATAATGACTAAACACTTAATATCACTATAATTGAATGATAGGGACAACAAAATAAAGTATATCATATCAAAATCGATTGTCCAAGACAAGATGGGATAAGTTACCTGCATGGTAAACAATATGGAAAGACCGCAGCATCAGATTTCTTTTAATATAAGCGTGATGATCGCGTCACTTACAGTTTATAAAAAAATGTTGATACAATAGATGCTTCGAACTACTTGAGAAAAAGCCGAGGATAATTTATGTTTTTTTGTTTTATTACAGGCCTGCAGAAAACGAACTGCACGACATTCATGCACCAACTATAACGAAAAAACCGTTCATAAACCAAGTCAATAAAAACAGTACAGAAGCTAAACCATACAAATTGGTTGAAATAAACTTAACAGCACATCAAAATAATTCTCTAGCTGAACACACAGTTCAGAATAACACAGTCATTTACAATGCAACGAAATTAATTAAGGATAGTCTTGATTTAAACCTTCAGCGTATTACAAAAATGGTTGAAATTACAACGCCAACCTCGAAAACTACGACGCCTAACAATGTTACATCTCTAAACACTGTTTCACCAACAACTAATGATAATAACGCTACCATAGCTAACTTAGAAAATAGAAATAATATCACGAAGACTACAAATTCGATGAAAGAAGCTACTACAACAGTCGCACAGTCACTTGCAACAAAATAATTATGAAATGAAAGCCTGAAGATTATTATTGTTTGTTTGAACGCATTAATTTCTGGAACTACTGGTTCCAACTGAACAATTCATTTTGTGTTGGATAGATTATTATTGATTGAGGAATATTATATCAAAAACGCTAGGTTCCGACCAACAGAAGCCGAGCAGCGAGTAAACTATCCAGAAGTAGCTAGTGTTAAATAAATGTTTAATAAAGAATAATAAAAAGCAAAACAGCAGAATTTTTAAATTCGAGTGTATTTTGATTCATGTTGCCTTGCACGAATGTGCTGACTACCTGATGGTTACAGATCGGCGCTGTCGCGCAACAATAAAGGAGGTTTAAGTACATTACCAGCCTTTTAGGTTTTTTTTGTGAGGGGAAATCATCAAATGACTTCTCGCACCCAGGGCGGGAGGGAGTGTCAGACTCTTACTGACTAAAAACCCAACTGTTCCTCCTCCTGCTCTAGGCCGAGGTCGCGGTGCCTCATTGCGCTTACCCCGCAACCGCGGCTGAACATCAGCTTGGGTCTGGTTCTGGTCGGGCGGCGAGTTGCCCTTACTCGCTCTCCGCAGACCCGCGCAAGCCTCTTAGGTACTTATATAATATAAAAAATAAGATTAAAATATGAAGCAACATATCATCGTATTTACGTGAAAAATAATTATTTAAATACCTTTGTAGGCTTGAAGTTTCGACCCGGTTGCACAGGTCGTGGTCGCAATGAAACGCGAAAGATCAAAAGTTAGTAGAATATGAAGGACGAAAGTATGTATTCCTGTAATATAATTTAAACTACAGCTTAACGCGTACTCAGCGCCGTTCAGTATTGATCTACGCATCCTGCCTACCGCGTTTTTATCGAATTTGTTTTCAATCTCGCCGTGATTAGATTATGTATATTTTATGGCACATCGTTACACGACTTATAGGTTTGTGAAGGGTATATATGTACTATATCTTAATGTGTATGTAGTAATGTTTCGAACATATCTCCTTTTGAATTATAATTTTCGTGAGACATATTAAATTAAATATAAGATTTTATGGTTTAGCGACTTAACAAGCTTCAAGAATATTTCCTGTGCAACTTTCTTCGCGTCATTCCGCTTTTAAACATGATTCCCTGGGAGGCTTGAAACAAATCGAGTTTCTCCAAAAAGTTGAGTGAGTAAGCCGTTAAACAGCGTATTTGGTCTATTGCTTGCCATCAGGTGACCCGTCAGCATATGTGCCAAGCTATCCCAAAAATAGGTTCAGCAGGTACTGCAGTGCATCAATCATTAATGTATCATGCCCACATGCGCGAAGCGGTTTGCCTCCAGTTTTATAATCAGAACTGCTAAGATGGATTTCTTTGGCGGAGCCTCTGTTCCCCGTATGGGTCTCTCTCAGTTTCAAGATCCAAGTGAATGGCTGAACATAACGAAATAAAAAAAAATATCAGGTAACAAAATTCGCAAAAGACGCTGTTAATTTTTCATCTCTGTTTATCTACGGTGCAAACTGCACGATGTCATATCACCCCGCAAAAGTAGGTTAACAAGGTGTTATTTTTCAATTTTTTTTCGACATCTATGTCGTTAAAAGTTACGTGGATGTCGTTAGTCCAATTAGTGGATACCCCACGGATTCCAGTCTTTCAGTCGTACGAAAATGTTTCAAAAGATAAATACACAGTTTTCCTAATATTTACTTAACATTTTTTTTTGTTTAAATTGCAAGTCCCATAGTTTATTTACTTGTTTACTTGCGTTAGTTAGTCAGAGGTAGGGTATTAGTAAGTACCCTACTCAAACTTTAAAATACCTAATATGTTTTTTGTTTGCAAAGCATTCAATAAGTTTAGTAGTGTTCACGTCTTGGCTCGTTGGGGTCGCGAGTTTTGTTCGTATTCACGTCTTATTCCTTCTATATACTCGATATGCGTTTGCACATACACTGATAAGAGACTTAGTCTCAAGACCCCATAGATGAGACTTGGATTTAAAACCTGTTGCCGTATATACGTCTCATCCCTAATAGTAAACCTTACATGCTATTGGCAAGACGATCAACAAAATTCATATCATAGAAGTCGAATTTAACGCTACGAAGAACATGACATACCAATACTGTAGGTAATTCGGCACGAATAGGCCGACTGTGACACCACGGTGCCAAATGGACTGAAGCTTCAGCGACACAAAATACCGGCGTGAAACAATCACAGCATTCTTTTTTGCCATATTAATGAGGTGACCAGAGGTCCAAGTTTTACCCCATCCTCAAATTACTTACATTCAAAAAGTCGACAATGCACTTAAAACTCTTAAGGTATTGTTGGTGTTCATGAGCAGCGCTTACTGTTTACCATTAGCTGACCCGTCAGCAAATTTTCTGACTTATTTATTAAATAAAAAACCTTTTCGCCTAAATCTCTATACAGCGCCGTCAGTGTATTATGGCAATGGCAAAAATTTGATTTAAACTATTACATTTTTATTAGAAAAATGCATTTTATCAGACACTTGTTGTAGTGATGTTATAAATTCTTTTATTATGAATACCTTAAAAAGAATAAAAAGTCATATTAATTGTCAAATGATCACAAACCACCCAAATAGATTAGCGAAAGTCTTGATGGAGAAAACTCACGCAACTCGTCGACTAAAACGAAAAATGCCCCAGGACATACTTAAAGCACATTAAAGTAAAGTAGGAAGTGACTCAGGTCACATTCCGAGCATGTCATGACAGACCCCGACCAGCCAACTAGACCAGCCTACTTAATGTCCCCAGTATGTGACAGATCGTAGTGAATAAATGGAAAAAAAAAATTATTATTTGTCAGAAACTATGCATGCAACCAGTAGGTACTCAGCATGAAAAAAATCCATTCACCATGCCATTTAATACGATGGGACCAAAAATGACAAAAAGTAACTATGGGCCTTTCCCAACTTTTTCGTAATAAAATTTAAATCAATTCATAAAGTTTAAATAAATATTATATCAATCACATTGATTGATATTAAGATTAGAATTTGAAAGATCAAAGTGTACAGGATCATTATTTTGGAGTTTATGATCATTTTCTTTTAATTATTAATGGTGCTGTCAGAAACTTAAGCCGTCATCTACAATATTAAGTTGATATTAGATGAAAATTAAAGGAAAGGAAAGGAAATAATTTCAGGAAAGGGTGGGATGGTACCTGTTGGATGACGCCAGCTTATAACTTCCTCAATCAGTTATATACCTATATACTAATATGTATTATAAAGAGGTAACATTTTCATTTTATTTTATTTACATTTGTAAGTTTGTATGTTGGTATGTAGGGGGAAATCTTTGGAACCGCTGGGCAGATTGCCAAAATTCTTTCACTGATAGATAGCTACAATGTTCCTGAGTGCTATAGGCTATAAAACATCATGCTACGATCAAATAAAGCCGAGCAGCGGTAAAACCGAGAATAGCTAGTTCAATTATGAAAATATAATGATACCAAGAATTGATTTCGAATTGATTTCAAGAAATTGGCATCGCCTCTAGATGCTCACTATACGAGAGGAGTGCTATGGAATTACAAATTTGACACTTGGGGATCAGAGTTTGGGATTAGGGTTTAGAGATAGGCGATGAGGGGTTGGGATTTTCACTTAGAGACTGCGAGAGTGAATTGGCATTTGGGGTCAGTTAATAGGGTAGGTTACTGGGCATTGCCAATTTCAGGATTAGAGATTGGGGTAAACTAAACCTCAAGGCCAGTGATTCCAGCCGGGGTGGCAGGGTAAGCAGCCGGGGTTGTGGGGTGAGCGCAATGAGGCACCGCGGCACTCGGCCCAGAGCCGTAGAAGGAACAGGGGGGTTTTTAGTCAGTAAGAGTCTGACACTCCCTCCCGCCCGGCCCTGGCGGGAGAAGACATTTGATGATTTTCCACTCACAAAAAAAAGGCCAGTGATTCCATGACTTTGAATACAATTCATTGTCATACAATCGATTCGAAGACCAATCAACCAGAAATGCACAAACCTTGGTCGAGCTCAACCAGTGACAGCAAAACTCACGTAGATTTTAAATTGGATTTGTGTTCTAGTCCTGTTCCAAACAAGGCTGGAGTTAGTCCCTTTGTTTGTGTATCGGTACTTCGTGTACACAACACTGATTGGTACATCAATACCTATGTCCAATGTGTTCACTGTGTTACTATAATAGTATACTACTGGCTTTTGGTTGGGAATTTGTGCGTGCAAAAGTTAGTCTTAATTTTGAGCGAATTTTTTTTTCAGAAAAATTCGTTGAAAATTTATGAATTTGGCATCGGTCTTGCCGCGCAATATACCAGAGATATGTATAGTAATGAGGAAAAAACCAATATATTAAAAATAGATACAACCATAGCCTGCCCGTATGCCAACTTATATCATAAAAAACCTAATCTCGTTTACAGAGTAGTTCGTATGGGAGAGATAATTGTCGCTTTTAGCATTATATTACAAGCATTTTTTACATGTTGTATTTCTGTTGAAATTAGGGGATGAAACGAATATATTGAGAGAAAATGAGTCCAACTGTTTCAGCCGTTCTCGAGTTTTAGTGATACTAAAGAACAGGAATCAGTTTCTTTTATAAAAAGAAGATTAATAATATTATTGATATGAGTGGTCCGATTAGTATTCCTCGAGATTCAGAATACAGTCCTTAACAAAAAAGAAAGTTTTTAAATAGGGATATCGTAAGATATTACAGGAAGCTTTAAAATAATATAATATGCGACTCAGCAAAACCCAGTATTTTCACCGTCACGTCGGAAAAATTTGCATTCTTTCATTCATAAATCTCTTTCATCCCCAATTAGAGTAAAAATGCCTTTTTAATAGTTCCCTGCACCTGCGTCTGTTAATTTGCCTTTGTTGAATTTTTTAAGAAGCTCTTTAAGAAAGGTAAGCCATGAGATTTTGTTATAAAAAGTTATGCCGACTTGTGCGAAAAATAAAATGGCCGATTCCGGTATTCAAACATTTCCTTTTTATCGTACTGAAAAAAGTAATTGTGTTATTAGACACTATAACGACTTAGCACATATTAATTTTGACTGCACGGTCGCACGGAATAAAACTTTGTGAGATCCAGAAATTGTTGTTTCGGGTCTGGGACGCTTGTGTATGTGAATTTACATGTTGTAAACGCACCCACCACACAGGAGAAAATCATAGTGTGGGGCAACGTATCAAAAAAATCGACGGGTAAAAGATAGTAGTTTAGTAGTTTTTTGGATATGTTTCCCATGTACCATAATATCAACCGTATATCAGATTCAATGCTAGACTCCATTCTATGACTGAGAAATTTTGAAAAAGCTGTAAACAATAAAGTAACTCTCAACTTGATTAAGGCACAGCTCGAGATCACTTTTTCTTTTTCTTATTGTTTTGTGGGATAGGATAGACTATGGGCTGAGGGATCACCTGGTGGTAAGCAACGGGCGCCGGTAATGGGCATTTGCAACACCAAAGGAGTCACAAAAATGTGTTGCCAACTTTTTCTGGGTAGTTAGGGATTATTAGTTGGTAATAGCACTTGCAAAAACTGGACCAACAGAACAGTCTACCAAATATCGGAAAAGCTACTCTTACGCGGATTTTAAACAAAAAAAAGTATGAAAAACAATGTTATCGCAGGACGCAAGCAAATCTCAATAAAGCCGTTGCACAAAAACAAACGCAAACGAAGCGAGTCTGAAAATAAAACGCGATCGAAAAC